TCTCATGCCTCTTGGCTTAATAACAACAACATAGATAAATAATTCCTGACATCCCCCATTTGCTGATCAATCCATTCAATTTATTCAGTTCATTCAATTCATTCAATTAATCCATTTAGCTGTCACAATCTCTTCTCATCTTACACTATCACACATATTCAAACAACTCAACAATCCCAAGTCAAAATGCGTTTCTCTATGGTGCAGGCCTTACAGCCCTCGCTGTCTTCTCCATGGCGGAGGCAAAATATGTAGAATGCCAAACAGCCTCTGACTGCGGACTTTGTGGTTCCGCGGACCGTATCTGCTTGTAAGAACTCTACCTTTGCAACTTCTGTCTTTCTTGCTTAGAAAAGATATAAAGTCCATTGCTAATGCCTGATTTCCTTGGTGAGGACAAAACTTGTGGATGCATACCATACTAGACGAGCCGTACTAGTAACATCGAGGCTGGATACTATTCGGCATTCTCGGCCATGCATGGCGTTGTTAGGTTGGGGGAACAAGGGACGACGGCGGGGGAAAATGTTGGCTTGCGAGATCGATTCTTGTAACTTATGGGCGGTGCCCGCAGCTACCGAACTTGAAGCTCTGTAGTTGAAATTCATTCTCTTACAGATCATTATAATGAGCTTTTGTGATATGATATAATGATAAGCTTTTAGGGTCAACTTGACCTTGCCTTTAGCAGTAGTAAGACGAGCCTAAAAAAGAGGCTAGAAAGGGTGTAGGAAGAGGGGATTTCTGAGATTTATTAGCTTCCTATCTACCAGCCCTTTTGGACTTAGTTACAGAACACTTGCGTTTTCACTATTTTGGTAACATTCCTACTACGAGTAAGCCTAGCTACATAAGGAGATACTACTTAGCATACTAGAACTGTTTAGGAAGTCTACTAGAAACCTTAGACTTCTATTGACTGGAAAGACGACGACGTGGGACAGCACCCTGCTAGCGCATCTTGGTATAACACTAGATAAGAACGGGCAGCTCCTTAATGCAAATCACGTAATGGGGTCCCTTATTCATACTTAAGTCACCTCAGGCTCAAAGCATTAAGAGCATTCGTGAAGTACCCCACCTGAACTGGAAATGGGGGCGAGGGTAAAGGTGGCGATCCCAAGATCTCGAAGGGTCTATGTGGGACCGTGAGACATGGGGAAGTTGACTCAAATCCTGTTATCAGTGTTATGTGGCCTTATTCCGAGCTCGGCGCAAAACCAGGGTTGAACAGCTCTGCGAGCTCGGCAGCACTCTTCTTAGTTTACTTACTCGAGTAAGCTTCCGCATTTTATTTTATGAGAAAGTTACCGCCTCTCGGTGGGGCATATTTCTTAGAGAAGACCGGTAGATGTCCAACGACCTTTCATTCATCATTCATCAGGTTCACCCGGCCGGTGTTCATTTCCACACTTTGTGTACAAAAGACACGTAAGTTATCGGCGATTCGTTGTGATGAACCTAGGGCTTAGAAAATGCTATAATAGTAGTATAAAGTGATCCCCGATAATAAATAAAAAAAAATTCGAGGAATCCAAAAGGAGAATTAACCACTAACTGTTTTGCGAATATCTAGGAGCCTATGGCTTATAACAATTGTTATTTAATTTAGAATCGACACTGGAAGTCTCGTCAAATCACGTAGACCAGAGTAAACATTAGCCCTCATTCATGACTGCTTTCATCGACTTTAAAACAGCTTTAGTTTATTTTTTCGTTTTTGTCTAAGCCTTTCACATAACCAGCTCTAAATAGAAATACCCCCTGGTGCCCCCTTTCTTTAATATAATAAGCGAGTGGACAAAGTATTCTTGAGAAACCGAGTGAATTTTCCAGTACTTTCATAAAGTCGTAAATCACCAACATCTAGATATCATACGCACGTTTAAAAAACTTCATAACTTCATATTTCTATCTTTACGATCTCTTTTCCATCAATCTAGGTGCTCCGTGATGTTTCTACTATCGATGGATTGTCTTGCAGGAAATCATTCGGGAAGCATACGCTTTAAACTTGGATCTGACTGACAAGTCTCCCGTATAAAGATGAAATAAAGAAGGTCTTGGACGGACTCTGATGGAGGAAAAATCAAAACCTCTGTGTTAATGTTATCATATACGTTGCTTGTTCGTTTGGAGTTCGTTGAACGTTAGTTTGCGTTTAATCTGACTGCGTGGTAGCGTTCAGGATTCGAGGGGTTTCAAATGTATTACTTATAGATTATCAAGTACTGTAAATCACAGAATCGCTTTATTTGTTAAGCTTCTGGTAGACGAGGCTGGTAGGCAAGAAATACCACCAGCTCATACCACCTTTCGGGACTTTTTTCTTTTAATATTTGCTAAGTTAAGAGGCGACGATAATACAAAAAATCTCGTACCAAACTATGGGAGTCATATATTGCACCAAAGCCCCATAGGACCGGGTAATATGGAGTAGGAACTTCAGGTAGCAACCTGGAAGGAGCATGGGAACAAGTCACGTTATAGTCACGTTTTGACTTTAACATCCAAATATCCATATCTGACTTACCTCTACAGGTACGAAAAAACTTGCCGATTTCAGGCATAGACCACCACCACTACCACCACCCAAAATCCACCCTTTTTACCTCTGTAATCTACAATACAACCATTCAAAATGCCCCGAATTAAGCTCTCTATCTACCTAGTCATTATTCTACAATTTAATTTGTGTGTGTTATCATGCAAAGTCATGATTTAGACGTGGTGTTGGGTGGTGGTAGTCTGTGCCTCAAATTGGCAAGTTTTTTCGTACCTGTAGAGCTTACTTTAGCTTTTCGTAAGTAACAGCAAAGATGGAAGTGTGCCAGGGGAGAGCGTCGTTTAATCAGAGGGAAAATAGTGGAGTAGAGTGGGATTGTCGATAGCAGTAAGCTTGCAGCACCAACATACCAAGCAGTTGGTATGATTTAAAGCATCGCTTGCACGGCATAAAGCTTCTTTCTTGTACTATCAACTTTCAAACGGCACTCATTCTCGTTTTACACGTAAGAAACTATCCATCGGGTATTTCATTAGCAATGCACTCCCCTAACTTCCTATCCAGGTCATAGATTTCTCCATCCTCCAACATATAGAAGTCCAATTAACTATTCCCTCACACATAAGAGCTCGACTGAGAACCTCCCACCACACAATTCCCCCACAAAAACCAAGAAAATCAAAAAAGATAGCCAACCACCAAAATGCTCCCCCCATTCTCCTGGTACCACATCCCCGCCCTCCTCTCCGCAACTCCCATGTTCATAGGGGGTCTCTTCCACGGCCTTCTACGTTCCGAAGCGGCCCTTCTAACCTGGGGGATGAAGCCTCAAACTGCGCGTTCACGCGATGCACAAATGGTCTACTACGGTCACACGATGCGCACCAGCACTTTAGGTCTTTTAATCTTTGCCTTTTATTTCCAGGGTAATCTTGCGGCGGTGGATACTACGATGGTGGTCATGGGTGGTTATTGTGGGATCGCGGATGTTTTGACGATTTGGTTCTATAGGAATAGAGATGTGGTTGTGGTGAGGCTTTTGAGTGTGCTTGCTATTGCTGGGTGGGTACTTTGTGGATTGACGGCTAATGGGGTGTGAGGGACGTTCATGGAGAGGGTGTGATTTATGGTGGGTGGACTTAGTTTGTTGATTTTAAAAACGTGGGGTTTTGCAGCTGGATTTATTGGTGGTCCATTGGACCAATGACATTATTAGTATTCGTGAAAAGGGAGGGAAATATTACAACCAAGAGAGCGACAGCCTCTTTAGAAACAGATAGCACAGAAGGTCGCACTACTCGCGGTTAAAACCAAGTATAGAAGTGTTATCAGCTTTTACATAACCATTCCAGACAGAACTCATCAGGTAACAAGATACTAAGCGATAATCCTGTGAACATACCTCGGTGAATGAATATATTAATAACATTAATATTTCCTGAAAATCGGTCCTATGAATACAGGTAGCAAATCATAGTACCTCGTACTACGGCGAGACTGAAAGCAAGACCGAAATATATTACAACACTTGTTTCTAAACCTAATTTCTAAACTACACTATATAATTTCAAATAAAGAAAACTCATTTTGATTACCTAGGTACCGAGCCATGGTATAGCCTCCTCGTATCATTTACCGGATAGCTAGGTACGTGACTTTGTTTACATTAGACTCCAAGGCTTTTTAAAACCTCTCCCTCTACCAAGAACTATACCCATCTCAAGAACCCAATTAGAGAATTTCTTACGGGAAGGTAATTTTGCCGGTGAAATACAGTATAAAGAAAGCTATAATAAGGTATCCCTTCCAGAATATATTGCTACAGAGAAAACGTGCACTGTTGAGCGGACTTGAGGCGGAGTGAAAGTGTCCACCTCTAAAATATCTTTTCCCCCAGATTAAACTCGCTAGGCCAACGAGATCACTGGACACGTTTACAAGCATTTACAGTAAACCTCAATTCAACCCGGCCATCGCATCCACTTATATCCAACCAGGAGCGCACGTTTTCACCGTAACAATCATTTTGAAAGGAATAACTCGTAACAATAACTTTCCTATTGCGCAATAGTCCTTGTTTGATATTGTTCCCTAAACAGCGTCTGAGTCGTCTTAGAACCCTTGCGTCCAGCTCCCTATATCGCAATAAACGGTCAACCCGCCAACTTCCGCATTCTCTTCAGATCAGAGCAAGTAGCAGCTATTATCAGAATTGATTTGAGACCGTTTCTATGTATTCTTCGTAAGAGAAAGAGAGAATAGGGCGGGAAGGGGGCCGATAGGTGTTGCGCATTTGCTGGAATAGGGATCCCGGACTTGAGACTTTTCTTCTTAGTTTAAAAATTGATTAGACAACAAGATGAATTTGTAGCAAATGCCGTTATCGCTATCACGGTTGAAATACATAAGAGCGGCTCTTTTCGTCTGTTCAGAGGCAAATCAGTTTGTAGAGCTTCACTGTCTGTCATAAAGATATCAAACATCAAGTCTCAAGATGAAATCCTTTGGTGCAATTCTGTTACTCAGCCTCAGGTATGTTTTCCTTCCCCATCCCGCTTTCCTCCTAGACACCCATGAAGTTTTCACTGATCACTCTTAGCCTCCTTCTCGACTACAACTTTGCGATGGGCATGAAAACCCAAAAGATATACGGCTGTTGTAGCTTTCCCCCTCAGATGAACGGCACACGGCAACCGGGATGGACGGATACGTGCTGCAAAACATTCAAGCAAAAAGTTCGATTCTACGGGAACAATACGCTAGGGTTGATAGGCCCGAGTTATGGTGTACGTACTCCCGTCATTCCCTTTCTACATTATCTCCCACCATCCAAGCGCCAAGCGAAAATGGGATTGGAGATTTCGTAGAATTCATTTTGCGATTATTATTGTTACTGATATGGAAACGTGCTAGTGTAAGGCTAATAATCCGAGGGGCTTGGGGGTCGAAGTCTTTACCGCTTGTTGTAAATTCGAAGGGAGTGAAGCGGGGGTTCCTGATGGGGCGTGGTGTCCTGCCTTCTGAGTTGTGTCGAAGGGGTCCCTGGTTGATGGGTTTTGACGGAAATTGTAATAGAGTAAATATTGTCATACCTCCTAGGCAACTTCTGTCACCACTCAAATATCACGAATACTGCACATTGCACAGGGTAACCACCTTACTCTAAAACCGCTCTTGTCTCCGTCCCCGCTTTCCTCTCTGTCCAAGACCTCATACTGGATATCACTTCCATACCGCAAAGGAGCTGAAAAAACGTGCACCCAAAGTGGAGAAGAGTAGATGGGGTAATTGGCTCAAATTGAGGCTCAAATGCTTAGAAAGGCGGCCTGGTTGGCTAAACGACTTTGTGTTTGACAGAGAAAATATTGTTAAAGCGGTCACTTTTACTCCACTTAGTAGTGCACGTTTCTTTGGCCCCTTAACCATCGTACCCAAGGGTCCGGAAGGAAGTTTGTGTTTCTAATATAAATGTACCTTTTCAAGTCTGAGTTCTACACTCCTGCTACGAGAAGGGTCGGAATCATGGGGTATGCAAGCTTATTCTTTCTTTCCTAGAGCTTCAGATGGAAAAGGGATTAGTGGTGGAGGTGGGGTCTTGTAAGATTTGCTATTACTGAGACTGCTACTACCATGGAAACTAGTATGAGACTCTGAGTCTTGGAAAGTCGGTGTCTTATAATTCCTGTAATTTGGAGGGGAGCAGCATAAAGATCGCTCTGGGAGACAGTGTTTTCATCTTGGAGCCATAAATGGATGGGCGGTATCGAAAATGGGTTGAGTTGGATATAAGATTCTGATGAAATTGGATCTGATATCAAGGATCCGTTCTTTCGAGGGTATTACTTGGTTCGAGGGTATATACAAGTAATGGAATATATACAAAGATCATGACCTGTATCTCCCCTCCCTACCTCACAACATTCCTCACCGCAGTCTCCATCCACAACTTCGTATACAACCGATGCAAAAACTCAATATGCTCCGGCATCGGTTTCCCCTCCGCCTTGCCCCTTCCTTGAAAAAAAGCACTCTTCAATCTGAACTCCGCAACGCCTTCATCCCGTTTTAACTCGACGCCTATCTCGAAGAGTCCCTCCGAGTCGCGGACTTCTTTGATTAATGGCGACCCGCCGCATCGCACCACGATGGAAGACGGGTTCTTGGAAACCACTTCGAAGTGGTCGGTGATTTGTGTGCCCACCTCGTAGGTTGAGTTCCGGAGTTGTTCGCGCGACCAGAGTTGATGGGCGGTTGTGGTGGTGTTTTGGTATTTCTTGGAGAGGTAGCTGCGTTGGTGTGCGTAGCCTATGGGTGTCAGCTGTCGCTTCTGATTCTATGCCAAGGTGGGTTCTTGGTGTTCTCTCCATGATCGAGTCTCTCGGTCGCATTTGTGCTACTCAAGTATCACAGCACTGTTTGCAAGTCGCTAGAAGCGCAGCGAATCACAGCGCAGCGCGGGGAGGACATGACGCAGAAACCTGAACATTGCGAAATACTGTATATCATACCCAGACCACTCCACAACCCCGCGCAAAAAGCCTCGACCAACTTCCCCTCCCCCTCCTTCTCCAGTAAATGCGACTGTATACTCGACAACGGCACACGTTTTACGCAAAGGTCGTGCGTAAGGGGATTCCTATTCGGATTATGTCGCAGAAACGTGGGAGAAGCGAGGAGGGGGTCTGAAGAGGAGACAGGAATGAATTTCGCTGCATTGGAGATTAGCCAAAGATGCGTGTCGGTGTTGATTGCGATAGCGCCCACTCACAATTTCTAGTCCAAAACGCGAACCCGGCTGCGCTACCAGCGCCACCGAGGACGGCCGTGCCGAGGAATTTGGTTATGATCCCCATTCTGGAATATATATCAAGCGAAATGAAGGAAAAGTTGGGATGGGGTTGAAATGACGTTTGTTCTGGTCGCCAATTTCATTGCTGGGTAAACTCCAGCCTTGTCGGCAGAAGTGGGAAGGTTTGCCAGCGTCTGACTGGTCGGGTGGGCTTCCAAGAAGGGGAATCCAAACAAATGGCGGAGAACAGCTGCAGCCAAGGAAAACAATTGGACGATTTGGCGAAGGAGGTCATTAGGGGCTCTGCTCGGTTGGTTGGTATCATTTTTCAATCTCATCGTTGTACTCCGCATGGCTTTGTATATCTTCGGTGTTGGGATATGTAGTCACAGTCACAGTGGTATGGAATTGAGTTGATGTTTACTCCAAAAACCCTCTCTACTCCAGAATCAACAACTACAATTTCTTCCATGTCAAATTCAGATTACGGGCTCTTTCTATCACCAGCTACGCTGTCAGCTTAGAGAAGTCTCACAGCATGTCTAACTCATCTCTCGCTCGCCATTTCCCTCTTCTGATGGCCTTCATTCTAACCTGAAGCACTGTTGACAATAACCAGTAACCAGAACCTTATTACAAACTCGCCAAGTCAGATTTCCACTCTCATCCCCCGCGGTGTCAACTCTCAATCCGCAATCGATTCCATATTGTCTCTTTCTTTCTATCCATCCGCGCCCTGAAATACACCACAAGGCACCCATCGGTCTATGTTAGAGACGCGCCAACATCAGAATCAACCGTGCACATGAATAAAGGGAATGAGGCGATGGTTTACCTCACTACATCATCGGCAATTACCATTCCTTCCTCAATAATCTACTTCCACCACGACCATCCTCATCAAATCTCTACTCCCGCGTTCGAAATCCATAATCTAAAGTCCTCAGAGGTCAAAAACCAAGGTTACGTATCGCCGCATCGTCTGCAGGAATGCGAGAATGTCATTGACCTCTGAATATCTCGCTTCTGCAACGGATTTGAGACTCTTCATCGAGAGCTGTGCAAATCACGACGTTTTTCAGGAGTTCCTTGGAGCTGTGCCTCATAAGGTTACGGCGCCTTGTTGTGCGCAGTTTGTAGTTAATAGCAAGGCTGTGAGGAGGACGTCATTGGAGCAGTGGAGGGCAATGAGGAAGTGGTTGATGGAGACGGTGGTGGATGGTAGAGAAGCGGGGAAGGTTTTAGAGTATACTTAGCATGTATAGTTTAGGATAGATCCGGTATTGTGAGTCGATATCTTGCAAATCCCATTTCTTAGATTGGGTTCCTTGAACTACTCGAATCACATTTGCCCGGAGGAAACACAGTGCTTGTGTAATGCCCTTTGGGGCGGGAAATTGTGGAGATTATGCGACGTAGACGTAGACCTAGACTTTTTAGTGAAAGTGATATATACCCCATTTAACCATCTATTTATTCATAAGAATCACTCCAAAGACACCAAAGACTCTATTACTTATACCTCCCTTCACATTCGGACATTTCTGCCGTTTATATATTCGTCTCGATCGACACCCTCGGTAGATAAGCGATCTTGCAACTCCTTCGTCCTCGTCCCCCCCCAGATGTATTGTCGCGTTTGGGGAATCTCTAATTTACAAACGTATCTTTTTATCTAGATATTAAAAAGGATTCCACGGTCGCGGTTTTCAATCAATGTAGTATTACATATAAATAAGATATACTGTATCTAAATTTTGTATGAGTACTGTGGCTTATATAGACGTTACCTATAATACTAGATAGAATATTTTAGAACAGTATGATTTCCTTCTAGTAAAACCAGTATCTACGCCTTGAAAAGACCCTAAACATTCCTACGCGCGACAAGGACTACGGAGGAGTTATACAAACGGCCTCGGATAAAAGAAGGGAAACTACCACATGTAACTGTTTCAGCCTCACAACCCCTCGAGACTTATCTTACATATGTAATTTTACTGTACACCTACGGATTTAGGTTTAGATTCCCCTTCTTACGCGATAATTTCCGAAGACAAGCCTTTTTCGAAGCTTGTTTATATTAAAAAGGTGAAATTAAAAATATCGCGAGGAATGTTAGAATATATTTCAAATACTAGTTTATTTAGAAACGGTACTATTATAAGGGCCTGTTTGGATTTAAAAAAAGTTACGATTATATTTGCGATTATTTTTACGATTATTCTATATAATCGCTAGAAAAAGTTGCCAGCTTATTTGAGATTTTTAAGCACTAGATTCACTATCTAAGCATTAACTATGCCTTGTCGATTCACTTTATTATTATATTATCAACACTATAAACAGGGCAAAACGCGTATATATAGAGCCTCATTTTGAGCCGCATATAGACTATAGGTACTACACAAATGTATCTTGTGCTACAAGTGCTCCCTGCGCTATAAATGCTCCTTGCGCTACAAATGCTCGCGCTATAAATACTTGCGCTACAAATGCTCGCGCTACAAATACTCTATATACTACAAATACACTTTGCGTACGACAGGAATAACAAGTATATACGATATATATAGTGAGATTAGAAGTGTCGAGGCGTGTTATACGTAGAGGTGTTGTACTTTGAAAGTTTGACTATAGAATTTATAGTACTTTGTACGTGTTTTTGGAAATAATCGCTCGAAATAGTACTAAAAACGAGCTATTCTTTTTGTATAGCGATTATATCGCGATTACATTTTGAGCAAATAATACAGCCTTGTGTTTGGATTAGCGATTATTTTCGCGATTATACGAATAATCGCTAAAACAATCTAATCTAAACAGGCCCTAAGAGTCTGTTTCTGTCGGTATATAATTCTGGTGAATAGCACCTTGTACGAGAGCCTGGTGGATCTATATGCTTTAGGTCATGTGAGTGGCTTGCCACTCATATACTTAAGCTTGTAGGGTACCACCTCTCTTTACCTTTACTCTTCATACACGAATGAATACGAAGAGAGATTATGTTTGTGTATCACCCTTTACGACAACCAGGTCGTACCAACACTGATCAGTGAGCGCGCACAGATCAGATACACTTGTTATATATTACCCCGTAAGAGAAGCGGGCATTAATCTGTACACACCTAGGTTATAAAAATATTATCCTAAAGACCTGACACAACTAAAACAATTATGCGAACAGTTTGAAATGATCGTTTATTCCTTATTAATCTAGGTAAAGTAGGACAATTTATTTACTTTTACTAGACTCTTAGTATAATGAATTTCGATAGCATGTGTAGAGTAATGTTCGCCATTCTTACACACTATATAAAATGCTATTATATTAAACTTCTGGTACAAGTAAAATAATTGTCTTAGGATACCTAGGCTAGTAAAAGTTGAGCTTTAACAATTATTCTAACCCTCTATACAACTATTTTAGTTATACAAGGCTTTTAGGATAATGTTATTCTAAGAGAGGAGTATATAGAGTAACGACCACCTTTCTTACTGTTCTATATACGTGTCTTAGATAGGGGTTTAAGTTAGGTTAGGCCTGCCTAGGTTAAGATATACTGGCAAGAATAAGCCTAGGAAAGCTCCTAGGAAAGACTAGCATATGTGGTTGAGGTACGAATTGGGTATAGTCTAAGGTTAGTCATGTGACGACGTGCTGTCAGGTGAATATTACGCGACTATAAAAGCAAGATCTTACCTACGGGACGCTTTGTGAAAAAGGGCTTTTGCGTGATGTGATATTTGCTGACTCAAAGGGTTGTTGGGCCTAAAAGCAAAATTGAGTTAGTTCAGAAGTGACTTCTAATTGCCAAAAGGGTGCGATCCTTGTTTGTGAGTATGTTTAGTTAGCCGAACATTTTTGGTTAGCAAAAGGGGGGGGAGAGGCAGCGCGTGTGAGTGAATGCTGAAGTAGTAGAAGCGCAAGTTCATTTATTGGTACCTTAAGCTATTTCACAATAGGACTAGTATGTAATATAATCTTGAGTGTTCTGTAGATATACTCATATTCTATAGTAAAGCAGTGCTGCTAATGGTTAAAAGACGAATCAGGCATTTTTGGAATGTATAGAAAACAAGCACAAGGTTTATAGTTCTCTTTCATAATCCTTGTCCAATAGATAATCCGCTATGTATTCGCTTCCATCTCTGACCTATATGTCCTAAAGAGATCTACGTTGTCACCTCTCATACCAAAGTCTTACAGTCACCTAGGTACTTCAGAACAGTCATGTGACTTTACCTCAACTTCAGTGGAAACTAAAGACCTCGAGATACTAGAACTTCCTCTATACAGCAAGAAAAAAGGAAATCAAGATTTAATCTTTTGGTATCAGTATCAAATGCGAAAGTCTCTGGTACAATAGAGGAAGACCATCGAGGTTGATCACGTGTGTCGAAAATTGACCTCAAAATTTGATATTGCCGCTCTTGCAAACTCAACTTCATTCAACCAACTCCAGATCTGATCATTGTTTTTACCCCCGCACTCTAGATGGCAAAAAACCGCGCTCACCCACCCGCCATCGACGGATTGCGCATCGATGAGCGCCAGTCTATTATAGACAAAATAGTCGACGCAATCCAGAACAATCCCAATGAAGTGATCCTTTCGCATCAAGGAGCCATATCGAAGGAAGACCTGCAGAGACTTTGGCAATCTTTTGAGAGCAAGATACAACCTACCAAGTTGACAGATGAGGCCAGTTCTGCATCGGCAATAGGTCATGCTGTGTGGAATCACTTCTACAAGCAGACACATGCGGATGCTCACTTCAGCGATTCGCAAGTTCAGGTTGACGTTGAATTCAGCTAACGCGTATTCTAGTTGGACCAAGCAAACCATTCCTCGAATCAAAGTCGCCACAGGACGTCAGGGCTTCATCAGCAAGCAGAAAAGAACGCATCCGGAAATGGCAGAGGCGAGCGGCAAGACTGTCAAACGAGCCTTGAGAAAGAAAGCGAGAACTGATCGCGCAGCGGCCACACCAGCTCAGGATAAGGATGTCGATGATGAGGCCATTAGCATTATACAGAACATCCGCGAAGAGATTCACAGAAACCCCGAAGCCGTCAAGCAGATAGCTACCAGAAGACATTGGCGATTTATTCGGTATCAATGGAAGAGCGCTTTTCAGAGGATTCAATCAACATTCCCACAACGTTCCCACGAATGGAAAACTTGGTCGGCAGGTCGAAGTACTTGGGAGTACTATTGTAAGTGAGTTCTGTACTGTTATGTGGGAGACATGGTCATTACACTATGCACATCACAAAACGATATTATACTAAACGTCTGATTTCATCACTTCAATCTTCATGATATACTAAGATATCAAGAAGTGAAAAGTAACACTCATTCTGAACTATTCGCATGTCAGTTTTAGTTGTGCTAGGCGTTTAGGATGATACCGTCCAACATGAGTGGATACAGAGTAATGACCATGCCTATTCCATCCTCATATTTTCTCATAAACTTTACATGATAATAATACCTCCTTTGAAAACCACAACTTGTTTACTTTAGCTAACTTCTATGACCAGTTGGAAAAAGTAGACCATTCTTCGCCGAGGAACCACCAAGGTTTTCCACGAATACCAAACCAACCACAAACTCATCTTCTTTTGAAAAGTTAGAAAAGCCTGTTTCTCATAGAGAGGATATCGCGCGTCACCATTATCCACAGACATCCCCAGAACAACATCAGAGACAGAATCTTGCCCCCAAAGAATCCTCGACTGCCAAGCAAACACACGTTGGAGACAATGCTCAAGATATATCTGGACCCTCTTGGCCTGTAAGATATACGCTGTGGAAAGAAAGAACTGAAAACCCGGAGCAATCTCAGCCCTTAGATATGGAAGCTCAAACCGGAATCGATTCTTGCCACCACCAATCCGCAACACAATCCATACCAGCCCTTCGGCCACAAGCCGATCATCCATTCACCTATAACCCGCCTCAAATCCATCATACGGAGCCTGCCAAACCCCCAAAACCTTCCATGAACACAAATTCACCTCCCTCCGGCATCCGAGTCGGGAAGTCGATTGGAAACATAAAAGGTTTCGCGCCCACCAATTCAAAAACAACACCAAAAACAAAGTCTCATACCACCCCACGACCAAACAAACCAACCATCCCACCCACCATGGATCACTCAACATCCAGCACCAAAACTCAAACAAACAGCCAACCAAAGGCAAAGCCCAACTCAACAATGCACCACCCACTCCCTCGCAAGCCATCTCTCGACCTAAGCCGTGATGTCGAGATGCCACCACCCTCGTCAGAAAAGCCCACACACCCACCAGTCCCACAACCCAGACCAAGCCCCCCGACCGAAACCGCAGCCCAAAGAGCCCTGAGAGAGGAACACGCCCGCGCTGAGAAGCTATTCTGGATTGACCTCGAAGCTTCTCTTGGTGTGAACCAATAAAGGCTGGTGTTGCCTGTATCCCCCTTGAATCTTGTCGGGACCCGGCATTCGAAGAACGAAAACGAATGAAGATAGATTGTTTGTGAAGTACACTAGTGGCTATCAAGTCGTTGTATTTCCGAAACTGATAGGGGGGTAATATGGAGAGCCGTGAATTTGATGGACTTGGGATATGCATGGGGCTGATAACCTAGTGTCACAGCTACGGTTTGTACTGAGGTATAGGTAGATAGCTAGTCAACCATGAGTGCTAGATAGCCTAGACAACCTAGACAGAATATCAGATAATGTCCCATTGATTTCTTCTCATAACTATGAACTGTGTATCGTATATAACACAAGACCCATTTATAACAGTCTACTGGAAGGTTATAGGTAAACCCATAAAGCAAAAGGTGGAAAAGGTGTGATGTATGTAATTAGAGCAATAATCTTAGCTCCTTTCTCAATCGTAACCCGATAAACTTTCGACTCCCCAAAGTCGAATACCAAAAATCCGAGTGATCCTTCGCTATGCAATAAAAGCCAGCTTTCACAAACAATACCACCACCATTCAAAGCGTCGCTTTCATCAATATATACATTACCTTTCCCTCACCCGGCCCAACTCCAGCCCAACCAAACTCCCTCATCATCACCACTCTCTACCCCTTCCTCCTCCCCTCCCCCCAACTTCCCCTAGCAACCTTCAACAGCACATACGCCAACACCCGATAAACAACCGTACAAACGCCCAAATAGAGGACATTTAACCCGGGATTTGTATCCAAGCGATACAACTCCAGAACCTGTCCTCCATTCTCGATCGCACACCGTCCATCGGGCAGTCTCTGCAGTTCAGAACACGAGAAATGGATGTCGCGCAGGGAGTACGGGGCGAGGTTGCGGATCGCGTAGCCGAGCGGGGAGAGGTAGTTCATGTCGTAGAGGAAGCGGGGCATGGAGATGGAGAGCACGCCCGACATGACTTGGGCGATGGAGAGGAAGAGGGAGGTTATGTTGATGGCGAAGCCGGTGTGGGCGAAAATTGTGTTGAACTGTTTTTGGGAAGGGGTTAGTTGATGGTTTCTTGGGGGTGCAATATGATGTTAAGGAGTTGGATTAAGCGAGAATCGGGAAAGGGATAAGAATTACCATTATGCCGAGACTCTCGCCACAGGAGACGATGCAGAAGCAGTTGAAGAAGCAGACGAAGAACATTTGTACTGTGCGCGGAAGGCCGGCTGCTAGACAGACAAGCACAGCGAAGATGAGTGAAGATCCTATTTCAAAGGGTACTTCTAGTGTTAGATATTGGAGGAAGAAGGCTTCGACTCCATATGTTCCGTCGTCGTTTTCTCGGTAGAAGACATCCTTCTCGATTGGATAAACGGCAACATTTTGAAGCATGCCAACAAAATAGAAGGCGCAGAATTCCTGGATGAAACCTATTCGTGTTTGTACGGAGGCATAGTCATTCTTCAGTGGAGCAAAGAAGAGCGTAAGAATGATAGCAAGACCAAGAACTTGCATAGTTCTGGCGACCAGAAGGGGGGGTTGTCTCCTGAAATTGATTGAAGCGCGATGCACAAGAATTGGATATGCGGAGAAAAGGGATGAAGGCTTTCTGATAAGCGCACCGAGTTCCACTGGTGTGGAAATGGTAGCTGGCTGAACGGCGGTATGAAACTTTCCATTCGTCCAGGTAGAGATAAGATCTTGAACTTTCAATCGGCTGGCTTCTTCGCGTAAGGAATGCTGTAAATCGACGGTAATTAAATCCAGAGCAAAGTCTGCGGGATTAGTGGTGGTTGGGCAAACATAACCTTGAGTCGCGAAATGAGGTAGCATTTTACTAGCTTCTCCAGAATAGACAACGGATCCACCTCTCGCGAGAAGAAGCACATTGCCAAATTGCTGGAATAAATCTGAGCGGGCTTGATGAATCGTGAGAATAAGCGTACGGCCTTCGTTTGCAAGACCTCCCAGTACATCCATGATTGAAGAAGCTGTGAACGCATCCAATCCACTCGTCGGCTCATCAAGTAGAAGTACACGCGGATCAGTCAGAATTTGTACAGCGATTGAGACACGTCGCTTCTCGCCTCCAGAGATTCCTTTGATCATATCAGATCCAATTAAATTATCCGCGCAATCCTTGAGACCCAACTTCATGAGAACTTCCTCTGCACGTCGATCCTTTTGCTCTTTCGTCATAAAAGAAGGCAGTCGGAGTCCTGCTGAAAACCGCAGAGTTTCACGAACTGTAAGAGACGGAAGTAATGCATCGTCATCTTGACACACGTAAGAGCATACAGACCTGACAACGGAATCAGACGGTATGGCTGAGTTGAAGGTCATATCGCCAGAGTGGCGGTAATGAGTATTGATGTTATTGTGGAGCCGGAGTGCCATGGAGTTCAAAAGACTGCTCTTTCCAGAACCAGAAGGTCCCATGATAACATTCAGAGTGCCTGATTGAAATTGAGCAGTGATGGGGTGAAGTATAGTCTTTGTCGGAAGTTTTCGACCCAGAATACTTCGCTTATCGACTGCCAAGCCAAACTTATCGAGACCGATATCGACTGTTCTAGTCTCCTCCGCAGATCTGATGGTCATTTTCTCTTTTCCTGCAGACAAATCCTCCTCAGTATGGCGAGCTTTCGCAATACTCATTTCCACTTTCAAGAATCGAAGACCGATCCAAGCGGTGGTATAGAACATGATGACGAAAGCGAGCAGAATGATGATCGGCCTAACGACCCAGTTACGTGGGAATGCCAGGGAGTCCAAGATAAAAGCACCGGTGTATTGGGCACAAGCTGGGTTGTTTTCTCCACCAGGGAGTGGACAGTCGTAGAACTGGCCAACAAATTCATTGGCCACCAAAGCCCCAAAAGCGTAGAAAACATAGGCAGTCCATTTGAACCACCTCACATACACCGGTATAGAATTCGCTTGCACAAAGAAACCACAAGCCATAGATTGTATCGTGTAGCCCATATTAGCGATCAGGGAAGCGCCAGCAAAGTTTCGTGACGCCGCGACACAAGCCATTGCATAAGTGACAGCAATGAATTGGCACAGAAGAACGACAGAAAAGAATGTCAGAAACGTCGAGGTCTCAGTTCTAAACCCGGCCATGTAGTAAAAGATGATGGAGTAAAGTACAGGTACAGGTAGATCTTCGGTGAATAACCTCGCTAGTCGTCTGCTCAACATGAAAGGGATGACATCCACGACGTTCTCGTTGTGTTCCCGATCAAAAAGAGGTATGTCAACTGTTAACCTGTAAGTCTCGAACATGAGAATGAGATACCCCTGAAGTCCTACAGCATTGTAGAGGGCGCCTTCTCTGCTTCTAATCCCACTCAAATCCCTAGGCAGGTTATAGAAAACCCATCCTGTGATGAGGCCCATGCCGATTGCTTCCAGTAACGACCCAGTCATGCCGAGAGGATCTCTCCATGTTACCAGAAAGGTGCGAGAAGTTAAAACTCTGGTCTGTCTTAGGAATGGTGAATGTGATGGCGCTTTGGACGTGCTTCTGATGTGATTGGGTAAGGGTTGTATGGAGGTTTGTCCTTTTTCCGGCGTACTATGATTATTTTCACTTTCCAGTTGCCAGGCCCTCTTCAGTCTCTCGACCCTCTGTGTTGAGGATGCTTCAAGCTCAGGGGTCCGATTATCCACAGCTGCAATATCAATTAAGAATTCAGCGGGATTGACAAACTCCGGCAACTCCATATCGAGCTGTTTGAACCAAGGTAAACAATCAGAGGCTTTTCCGCAATAGACAGGGCTTCCTCTGGCGAGAAGTACCAATCCATCGAACATGCCCCATATCTCAGATCTTGGTTGATGTATCGTGGTCACAATAGTCCTTCCTCTTCCAGCCAGATGCTTCAAAGTCCTAACAAGTTGAAATGCGCTCGTGGCATCCAAGCCAGTCGTCGGTTCATCCAAAAACAGAACACTAGGATTACTTAAAAGCTGTACGCCGATACTCGTGCGTCTCTTCTCACCACCGGAACAGCCTTTGTGCTGGTGATTTCCAATCCTGGTGTCTGCACACTCTTTTAGACCTAGTTCAAGAATGACTTCTTCCACCACCTTACGACGTTCTTCTTGTGTTGTGGGCGGTGGTAACCGTAGATCAGCAGAATATTGAAGGGTTTCTCGAACAGTGAGAGTTGGTAATAAGACATCCTGTTGCATCACATATGCTGCCCGTACACTCCTTACTCCCTGAACACCATTGAAAGTAGTCGTCCCATGGATTGCCATGCGACCACTAGTCATGCGCTCAGCCATTGTATTCAGCATTGTAGTTTTTCCGGACCCACTCCCACCAATTATTGCGGTCAAAGTCCCTGCTGTCATGGAGGCTGAAACCGAGTGTAAAATCTTCTTCCTTTCCGCCGGTGCCTCGCCATCATGATTCTGTTTCCGCCTTCCCAATCCTAACTTCGCCAGCGGGGAACCGAACGTTGAAATGTCCACATCGACTGCTAAATTCCGTACGTGTATGTCCACTGGTTCTACCTTGGAGAGCGAAAGGTGGTTGCTAGCTGCAGTGGATGGCTGCTGTCGCAAAGCATTAGGAAGGTCATTTTCTTTCGATGCCGTTTCTGAATCTCTAGACGAAGTATACGTATGGCGATTGTTTCCCCCGGGGACTTGGTCCCCTCCCTCTGTCGGATCTCCCATTATTTTTTCTCCTTCACAAGCCTTCCCAACCTTATTCCTTATCGTTTATCTGAGGCCTCGGGTGGCGTTCATAGTCAGATTTGCATCTGGATTATGGGATGGAAATGATCGAGACAGTCTACAGCAGTAGCCCAATTGGCGATTATCTCGAAATCGGGGATGCGATTGAGAATGGTGCAGTGGGATCTCTATGTGATCCTCAACGAGTCATCGAAAGGCTAGAGTGAATAGAGTACGCTGCAGATGACGGAAGGACTGTACAATGGCCGTCAAGGGATAAAGGAAGAAGGTTCAATCGTACAGGCTGCCATGATACGGAACACATTGTCCGTCCCAACGAAGCAACATCAAAGGAGAAGAGAAGGAGGACGAGGAGGAACACGACGATGTATTAGGTGTACTTGGGTGCCGAGTTTGAAGGAAGGGTTCTCGTAATGCGATCAACTAGTAGTGTACTCCGTACCATGGGAAAGACCTCGGTGAAGTGCTCCCCCACTTCCTCACGAACGCCACTACTGACAAGTAACACTGGGTCGATAGTGGATCATGTTACTGTGAAGGAATCCCGCCGATATTGGTCTAACATAAAACATAAAAAAGCACCACTCACAACCACTCGGAGATATTTGACAACTGTACGTGCAAGAAACTCAACCATTGAGAAGTCGATGAACCCGGAGCTGCATCCACCCGGTCGGGCTCGGTTACTGTACATGCACGAGGGTTCCACGAATCTCACAAATCAAGGCCACTCCCATCAACGCAAACTCAGATAAATTGGGCCTCCGCCTCCCCACGAGAAGAATGGATACCTACGGTGGGTACTCGAGTACGGAGGCGTGATAAGCCCATGGGTGTACTAGTATCGAGAGGTCGCTTCGCAAGCGATGTCGAACAGAAACAAACTCTGGAAACGAACTCTGTGTGGAAGAAGGACGCCAATTTTGGGCACAGTCCGCCGTTCAAAATCCAGCTTATGCTGGAATAGTCTACAGTTCGAGACGAAAATTCCGAAAAAGAAAAAAAAAACCCCTCTAGAAAACCCATCATCGGCTTCCCAGAAAACAAATGACAGTCTGAAAAGTTCTTGTGACCTCTAAGCTGGACATGATTGTGGTTGTATGCAGTCTTTTTTTTCTTCTCCGGGGGAGGGGAGAAACCCGGACTGTCGGATGAACGTTGCATGCACCCGACATCCCCATATTACAGACACCGCCTCCTCGACTATTACTGGCTTCCAAATTTATCCAACAAAAAGCCACCGAAATATTTCTCGGGATGCTTCATGTCAGTCAAACATATCTTCCGAGCACCAAAAAAGAAACGTTTTCCCGCCTCCCAGAATATCCTTGGCATCTTTCCGGTGGGCAAACAAACGAATAGCTGTATAATTTGTGCTGCTACCGAAGCCAGATGTGAGAATAAAATAAAGGTATCAGAAGATATACAAAGGGCTATATCAGCTTGCTCTTAAGTTTTGGGTACTTTCAGGCTCTTTCCGTCTTGAAAATGCGTTGTGGCATTTGTATTGAAGCAATACTGCCACTTATGTTGTCCATCGGGACTCGGGAGGTGGTGTACATTGATTGCAACACTACCACGAAAATGAGGCCAGCAAAGAATTCCTTGTTTTGCAAATATGGAGAGTAGAAATTGATTTTGAATACGCTAATTACAAAGTCCAAAACTACCCCTTGCGTAATTGAGTTTCCATAGAACTATCCCTTACATTTATTATACTATCTGAAACAGAAATAGTTCTATTATAGTTGTACTATATTAATACTTAAAACTAGAGGCATCTCTGTTAGTATTATTAAAAAAAGAAGTATCTTAATTATAGAGGTACTAGTATATAGTACCGGGCGGTAAGTCTAAGCTATTTAGCCGAAGAACACCTAAAAATAACGATTTACCTAGTTTTTAATAGCTTATAACTTTCCCTTTTATTAATAAAAGCTTTATCCTTCTTATATCCTCTTAGTTAAGTATATTACTAGTACTCTTATATAGATATATTAAGTTATAAAGAAAGTCTTTATTAGTATATATTTTTAATATTCTCGAGTTATATATTTTATTACCGAAATCGGGCCGAATTTGATATAGAATAAGTATTTTATAACAATAGACTACTTTAGGCCTATTTTACTTAATATCATATATTATCTAATAAAATCGGAAGAGATAGAAAGAAAGGAAACGTCAAGATAAAGAGATCTTACAAAGACTTTATATTTCTAAATAGCCTTTTATATTTATTCTATAAGTAATTATACCGAGTTTTAGTATAAAAAGAGTAAGTGGCTTAGACTTTCCGTCTAGTACTATACACGTAGAGACGTAATTATATTATAGTAATTAGCCTCTTAAGTGTTATTTAGAAGCTTCCCGGACGCCAGAATCCTGGTATTTGTTATTGGATTGTTTACTACGAGATTTAATAGGAGCACAGCGTGACAGCGACCTGTTTTACAGAAGTCAGACCTGTAGCACTAATCACGACTCTATAGATAAAATAGAACATTTGGGAGCCATGCACAAAGCTTTATATGATTTGTGTTAGGAAAGGACGAGAGTGCGTCAAGCTTGGCCTTACTCTTGGGAAGTTTATAACTTTTGCTCTTTTCTTTTTGGCGGACGATAAATGGCAACATATTATATGTCTGTATTCTAATCACCGCGTGTATTATTCTTTCTCTTGCTTCTAGTGTGGATACGGGGATCTGGTATTATTTGTGAACAATCTTTTAACGGATCTGGTTTGAAACTATATAAGTCAATTAATAAAATTAATATATAATTAATAACTATTTCCTTCTTATACTAATATAGCTAAGTAAAAAGATTAATATAAATAGTTAAACTAATAGTTAAGTACTGCTAAAGAATACTTAACTACTAATAGAATTCTAGAATAAAGTAGCTAAGATAAATACTTATATTAGAAATAGTTAAAGCTAATAGACCTATAGTTAATAATAGAAGACTAAGCTTAATAAAAGCCTTTATAAGTATTCTCTTAAGTATTAATTATATATAACGTGGTTTATCAGCGAGTCGATCATATCACCGAGTCGATCACTTTTTCTTGGCACAGAACTTTACACCTAAATAAATCAACCACAATATATTAAATTAATTATCGCTCTCTATATCTGACGAACTAGATATATCTATAACTTCTTGACAAGTTCGCGCGTTATGACCAGCTTTTCCACAAGTTCTACAGCGCCGCCTAGAAGGTTGCCCCTCCTTATAACCAACCCCCGCCTCACGCATGTCGCGTCGTACTTGCTCATCTACATCCTCCTGAGCTAACATATCCTGTACATCCTCTACTATAAGTGCCCCTCCTTGGCGGACACGAGTCTTTTTAGCCCTACGGCGTTTACTTAGGGCTTCATTTGCAGCGCGAAGGGTACGGACCTCAGCAGACAAAAGGGTCATCTCATGTGCCATTCGCTCTGTACCCTTTGCTAACGCAGCAACTGTTTGAAAAAGTGGAGTTGGCGAGCTTCCTTGATGACAGGCTATACGATTTCGTACAAGAGTTGATTGTGAAAGGGCTTCAGTTGGGTTGGAAGGGGTCTGGGACACCCAGGGGAGGGAGTTGGCACTACACGTCCGAGGGGGAGTTGGAGTCCGTAACCTTACGTCAAGCTTTGAAAGCACTGCTTGCGGGTTAAATGGTACTAGGCCAGCTCCGCGGAATCCAGACTGACAGTTTAGGACTGTCATTGTTTCCTTGTATGCTGCTGTAAAGGCTAGAAAGAACTCAACCTTTGTAATATGGTTGATATGGGCCTTGATAAACGTCTCAATCTGCCGACCATACGCTCGTTTTAACACACTATAGCACCCAACATCAAGTGGCTGGGTTAGATGGGATGAATGAGGAGGTAGTCCAAGAGTAATAATGTTGTGTTTCGTACAGTAGTCTTGGAACTCAGCCGATTCATGACTCTCGTGCCCATCCAAAACTAGTATTCGATACAGACCCTTTGCACGAGCTGTAGTGTGTTTATCAAAGTGCTTTAACCATTCCAGGCCTGTTTCATTATTTGTCCAACCATTGCTTGTCGGTTTCATAACCCAGTTAGGTGGGAGGCCGCCGTCGGTATACCAGTTGGAGAGATGGTTCTTGCCCTGAACTACCAAGAATGGAGGAATACTCCAGCCCTCCCCATTAATACAGGCAATTGCTGTAGCCCATTCCCGATTGCCTGGCTGAACTGCCTTGCCTCTACCACGTCGGTCTGCACGAGTAACAACCATTCTAGGACAAATAACACCCATCATAAAGCCTGTCTCGTCGAAGTTGTAGAAGTCGGAGTCTGTAACCCCATATTTCGCCCTCATATTCTCTACTAGCCGGAACCATGCGCCTAGCACGTCAGGATCTTCGCATAAGGCCCTCTGGAAGTCGTAAACGCGATTAAAACGCGTCTTAAGGTCTGGTTGTCGTTGTACGAATCGATGGGCCCAGAGCTTGCCGACGCGTCTTCCCCCCCGCGATTCAAGGATAAAATTAGCCATATCTTCTACACCAGCGAGCCGGGGCGCAAATCCTCTGGAATCCATATCCAGTATATACCGAATAATCACTTCCTCTTCTAACTCAGTCAACTTATGACAATTGGCTTGAGAATCTGGGCGGTAGGTTCGGCCAGCCATTCTGTCGGAAAGAGTCGTATATGGTACATTGTAGATCTTTGCCGCAGAGCGTTTGCTTAGTTTTTTGGACGACCGAATAGCCTCGATAGCTAGAGTAATTCGCGCTTCTTGAGTTTGAATTTCCATGGTAAATAGTTGAAGAAAACGTGTGTTGAAGTTTGAGGAGGTAGTGCCAAGGAAAAGTGATCGACTCGGTGATATGATCGACTCGCTGATAAACCACGTTAAAGATAAAAGAGTAAGTACTACTACTTGTCACGAATCACGTGTTAGCACGTGGTTAGCGAAGACCAGGCGGCGTCCTGACAGGTCAAGCACTACCAGAATACTTATAAAAAACGTGTGTTGAAGTTTGAGGAGGTAGTGCCAAGGAAAAGTGATCGACTCGGTGATATGATCGACTCGCTGATAAACCACGTTATATTATATTATACTACTATATAGATAATTATATAGAGTAGCTTATTTTAATAAGGTGTCACGAATCACGTGTTAGCACGTGGTTAGCGAATACCAGGCGGCGTCCTGACAGGTCAAGCACTACCAGAATACTTATAGCAGATAGGGATGCTTAGGTTAGCTAAGCGATCCAGGGATTTCATAGCAATTATATCACGTGACCAGTAATGGTCGTTTGGTCGCGAGCGACTACAACGACCAGGTCGTCTTGGTCGCGGCGACCAGCAGCGATCATGAGGATGAAGGTTCTATATAAGACTGGCACGTCTGCCATTAGATAGGAGCTTCGTGCTCAACTTAGTTATCAACTTAGTTATCAATCTTATCATATTAGTTTATCTTCTTCTTATCATAGCATACCAACCAGCGAACACCCAGCCAAGTTTAGTTAGCCAGTTTGAGTATTCGTTACAATATCTTTATTTAATCTTTATTTTTAAATATTAGAAACTAAAGTAGTAATTGCCTATCAAATATACTAGCTTAGATAGATATACTATAAATACCTAGGATTTTAGTACCTTAATAGAGGGTATAAGAGCTTATAGTTATAGCGTACCTAGCCTGAAGTAGAGTCCTCGCTTACTCCTCGGTTATTATAGATCATAGTGTATATATAGTATAGATCAAGGACCCACGGTACACGCATATGATAAAGTGGGACGATATGAAGGACGATATTTTCTGAGTAAACAGAGCCTAGGACAGTCTTCGCTCGTCTAATTCAAGCTTCTATGAAAAGAATTTAGACCACTTTTTCCCCCCCTGTTCTGTACGCAATACTCAGAAAGTTAATATGATCTCCACAGATCCAGCCCCTCCCGAAGATCATCTTGGCTTCAGCCCCTCGCCTCCGGCACATCATCAACTTGGCACTCAACCTCCAACCAAAAAAGTACCCATCATATCTATTGAACATACGCCGCTTGCTGACAGCCAGCCAAGGATATTGAGGAAGGGCGGGTGCTGAGGAATTCGGGATTCCGAAGTACCCAGTATATGTAACGATGAAAACCCAATCATGAAGTCAGCCATGCCCCACGAGCGATGGTAGATTGACGTTTGTGGCAACCCCCAAAGATAGTAGCTTTCGGAACCCCCACTCCCGTCGAGGGCTCAGCGATGTTCGTCATACCGCCTAACGAAATCTCCGTTCCAGATTCATAAGCGCGATCTCAAAATTAACCACATGTCGCAAGCGCCAGGCGAGAGAGCAAAACTCAATCCAGACCCTTCGAAAGAGGATTCACGAGCATATAATCACGAGAATCGAACCTCACTCTATCACGTCGATATCCCCCAAGGAGAAATTTAAGCAATTGATACCAAACAAAAAAACACCCGACGGACTCACTTCCGAAAACCATGTGCTGTATTTCGGTACGTGTTCACCTATCACACATAGATACAAACGATCTTACCTGCACTGCGCAAAAAGGCCAAGTAGTATCATGACCAGCCAAGGGACTCGGTGTTCATCACTTCCTCTTTCATGTTTATTATCCGGCGGAAAAGCGTTCTTGGATACCGGGAGGAGAAGAGGCTTGTCTTGTTTCATTAGAAATAGGCGTCTTGGTCTGCGAGGGGCCGGCTTGAGGCTTGGAGGGGTAGGTGGGGTGGTGACGTGCAGTCTGGCTTACTGCTTATCAGATTTGAATATCGGAAGGGAGCATTCTAGATCTGGGATGTTTCACAAGAGAAAATGAAGCAAGGAAAAAGAAAAGAAAAAGAGACCGATTATTTGATGAGGGAGGATGGTAACGGACATAATCCAGATCCAAAGAATGGGATTGCGGCGGCTAAAACCCACCCATTGTTTACCGTGTCTGCTTTTTATATTACGGGTTACCGTATTGATTGCAGTAGCGTATCACTCGGAGGAGCGCACTCATTGAAGAATCATCTGTGGTTTTCCGACAATACTATGCGATTCTGCCTAATATTCATCGGGCACCAAATACCAAGACCATGCCCGTGGGCTCTAGGTTTCGGAGAGTAGCACAGCATGTTTGGAATGCATATGCTGATGATGGGAACTTGGTTGATTAACGTCGAATCTCACAGAACCATCGGTGATTCGGCATCGCCGAGAAAATCAACTTCGGAGTCATTTTGCAAACGTCTTTGTATGTTTGTCAGCTATGTACTGTCTAAATGCGATTATGTAAGTGTTTCATCAAGAAGCAAAAGTTACAGTGGCCAAAATAATGTGAGTTAGAGCAAGTTTCCAGCTGAAACTGCCACCACGTTATCATAAACTCCGAGGTCCCAAATATCCCAAATCCATCCTTTGAAGCTCAGCACTTGAGCAGTGGGTTTTAGAAAAAGAGGAGTCTCACTGGAGACTTATATCGAAGAAGCTGTGTTGATCTTTCAAAGGAAATTCGTAATACGTATTGCTCTACAGAATCAAGTTTGTAGAACCCCAGTGTTCGACACCGGGATCTGATTCTTAGGTAGTTTGTGTTCGTTTGAGGCGCAAGTCTTCACTGCTGATGGGTGCCAACACAGATTCAGAAACAAGAGTCTCACTAGATGGAGATAGTTGCGTTAGTTGACATATGGTGCATGAAGGACAGCGAGAACTCACGCTCTGCTCATATGTCTATTGGCCATGGCGCAATAATCTCTCTTCTCCCCCTCCTCATCGCTGTTGTCGGAATCTGAGTTTCCTCCCCACATATAACGACCGCGTGCTTTTTTCCAAGCACCCTTGAATGTGTATCTCAGGACCCATATAAAAGCGGCAAAGACCAATACAGGTGTTCCCAAAGCGACTCCCCATGGCGGTGTTCCGTATCCACTCAAGACGATCCAAAATTGAACCATAACACCGACTATAGCTATGAGGCTTCCGACTTGAAGAATTGACCAAAATCCCCAGTAGAGTTGAATGAGATCTTCACCGTCACAAAACTGGATATTGAATGCAGCGAAGCACTCGAAGATAATGCTGGTGAAGGCTACCCAAAAACAGATCATCACAATGGCAAAGTACCCCTTTCGTTTTTGTTGTACGGTTTGTTTGTATTCTGGTGATTGTACTTGTTCTGGTGGCATCCCTTTTTCGAGATCGATAATTCTGTTGGACCTGATGGATGCTATTAGCTTTCACGATATACATAGACCTAACAAAGGGAAATTGAAATAATATCGTACCGATGGTGTTGGAAAGAACTGAGACACATCATGAAAAGAACGAGTGTGAATAGTATCCAAAAGATACAATTCGCTTGTAGTAACGTGAGGTTTCTCATGAACCGAGCATAGTGATTGCATCTTTCCTGATCTTTTTCGCTAAATTTCCCCGTCATTTTGAATACTATTGAGCGATAAATATGGTGATATGTAGAAGAGAATGAGAGGGTCAAGCTTATATATAATACTTGTAGGTATGAGGCGTATGGATTTAGCGAAACATTGGAAGTTCTAGGTTTGAGAGATGACATGTGTAATTCGTGCAGGACAGCGAAGGGTAGTATGCAATCCTTGGTATTGTGTCCTGTATCAGACGCCTACCCTCGCAAGGAAGCTAGCGAGGCTACGAGCACGAATGGTAGATTGCCCTGGAGGAGTTTAGATAAGCACGGCTTCGGTTTGCGTTGATCACCGACCCACGACACCGACGTGTTTACAATATCCAAGAGACGCTGTGTGAGGTTGGTAGAAACACTCGCGCTGCTCATCACGCCTCAGCGCAGAATAGGCCAAGACAAACGAGTGGGAGGCGGGTTTGTGTGGAAATACGCGCGACGATCCATTCTCTTAGTGCATAAGTCTCAGCACTTGCTTAACTCGTCGATTCATACTGCATATATGCGGTCAACAGAAGCCGTTTTGATCAAGCCAAGATGTAGAGAGTATCGCCAAGGAAGGCGGAGCGGAGCCAGGTTTATAGTCCCTTTCTTTTGTTTTAATGTCGTCACGATGTGAACTAATTCTGAGACGGTTCGCGGGTCACTTAAACTGAAGCGACCAAGCATCTTTCAACCTTAATTCATGAATGTGCTGCCAATTGATGATAAGTATGTGGCTATGAAAATGAGAATAAAGGACAAGGGAAAGATGACAATAGTGTGAAAGATGTAATCGGGTAGGAGCAAGACGTTGGAGTCAGATGCAAAATCAGTGTAACGGCAAGACCTCACTCAGCCTTAGCTAGGGAAGTTCCGAACGTCGGGAATTCCAATGTGACCCGAGTATCAGATTCCATTCGCTCCTGGATTAGTTATGGAAGCGAGGGAGACTACTGCTTATTGATGCAACACAGCAAGATAGTGCAGTGAAATGTTAAACACAATGTCATTTAATCCCTCCAAGTGTCATCGTAGCATTGCAAGGTAATCATGGGATGACCTGCGCCAATTGCAACCAATGATGGGGATAATTCATACGTAGATTGTTTCGGGGAATTGGCACTTGGCCTCACAACAGAATTGAAATACCCCCTCTGTGTCATGATTAAAAATGTATGGATAAAGGATTGGAGTTTTCGTAAGACCCAATCTGTTCCACAGCGTCATCTAGAACATGTCTGGATTCTTGATGGGGTAATGCCCTGACACTTGTCATGTCCAACAGTTGGGAATATGATAGAAAGATGAATGATCTAGACTCTGCATGGAAAACCAAAATCATTGAATTCGTGACCCATGTCATTGAAGGTTAAACAGCTGGAAGCCGCATAGAGAAGAGATAAGATACACTTCAGCCACAAGCGCGTCTCCCGCATTTGGCTGAGATAGAAGCATGCATACACACGCCGAAGAAATGCATACTACAATGACTTGACAGCAATGAGGCCGAAAGGCTATGATGTTTTATGCAACCAAGACTTTGGAATCGGAGTGATACTCGGCCCTAGATAACCTAATTTATTTTCTTAGGAGCAAAATATTCGAAATTCGGACCAAGTGAATGGTTCTTAGTTATGCGAAATCCTCGTAAGACATAGTTTGGAGAAGATGACTAGGAAGGACTGTGAGAGCTCTGACAAGACTTTCGTCCCAACTCTTCCATCTGTGCTGCTCCCCCTCGAAACTCGAAGTCCCTCATTTTGCCGATGCGAGTTTTGACGTCCAGTATGCCCCCCGAAACGAACTGTCAAAGTAGAAGTGAAAGCTTGATAGCATCCATCCGCAAGAAATTGTTTCAGTAATCGTGTTATGCCAGACAGAGGGCTCGATAGCCCAGCGTAAAAGCAAAAGGCTATTATTTGCAAGATCAAACATACTTAGAAGCAAAGAGTTAAGTCAGGGGCAGTAACCAAGGTTGTTTTAGTGCTCCCGACGATCATGCCAGACGAGGCTAGGCTGTACTATGATGTGCCCCACGAGGTCAGGAATCTGCGCGAGTATCTATCTACCGTATGAACACGTGAATCGTCGGTAATCTGAACTACTAATGCGTGATTGATTCAGGGTCATAAAATGAATAGCTAGGGGATGTATGAGGAGCGTTGAGGTGGCGGTGAGCAAAATAACATCTTTCTTATCTTACATTCTATCTCTTCAACTTTCACTTGAGTAGAAGTTTGGTTTTCTGTGATCAATCGACTTTATCTTGCTGAACTAGTTGCAACTATCTATAGCGGCGTCGCTAACCTACTTTAAGGCCAAGAATTGATTGCGTACCGAGAAGATGATCTCCCACGTCCCTGTGTGGTACGGAAATAAAAATCCTCGAAACGTTTGAATCATTCCCGCGTTCGTTTCATCCCAACCTTTACATTAAACGGTTACAGGGCCGGCAGTCAATCTGAAGAGGACTAGTGAAGCACGTCGATGACAATGCTTAAGTGGCTTTCCAAGACGGAACTGGTTTCTTGGACTCTGGAGTTCAAATAAGAATACCAAGCCTACCAAGATGTTCATCACCCACGATAATCATATCTTACTTTGCACTTAGATGATTACAAATCCATCGAGTTTGTCACGGTGTGCTCGTATACTCGTATACTCCTATCGACAATACCCACTGAATGGCAAACCACCTGATCATACACATGTTACTGTATCCAACAGAGGCCTAGAAGTAGCACGAGTTATTCGACCTTTACTGCATTAGCCTATCTTGGACGGAGTCGAACAAACATTATACCTGATGTTTGAGGATCTTCTCTAGAGGAAGTTGAAACTTGAGGAATAGAGAAATGTTCATTCGGGAGCGGACATCCAAAAGCTTGCGAGTCGCCTACTACCAGTGCGTTACTCGATGGGCTCATTCGATGGTGTATCCCTTGGTCCACGTCCACTTACACATGCGATATAAGCAAAAGTCCACAACGTCAGGCCAGACTTGTTACTTGTCTCTCGAGTCTTATTTCGACCTCGAGTGAAACTCATCAAACAATCACTTACCCTGGGGTCGACGTCGAGAGCTGGTTTCGAAGGTACAATACTTCAAGGTTTGATATGAAATAAGGGAGGTGGCTATGCCAACGGCAAGTTTGGATGGTTGAAAAACAGTCAATCCTCGCGATGCACTTTTGACTACCAAAGAGTGTGTTCATTCTAGATGTACGAGTTGAGTACACTCATGCACTTAAAGAGGATATGTTTGATGCAATAACTGGGTCAAATCGAGGTTCAAATGCTTGGACACGTTGCCTGGTTGGCCAAACGGCTTTGCTTTTTAGGGCAGATGTTATAGAAGTGGACACTTGTATCCACTTTGAGTGCACGAGTGCACCTAAGGCTTAATACTAAGAGGTGGAAGGGATATCATGACGGTGAGGGCGAGGGGGGGTCAAGAGGAGGTTGGTTCATACTCTTGGGAGGTAGAGATCGTGTCCTCCCTTCTCGCCGCAGACCGTGGTCTTGCCATGACAACGTGACTTACTGGATGCACCAGATAGAATGAGTCAAGGATACGAAGGACCGAAGGTCTCTCGCGTAGGTAGGAGCTATGTTTAGAGGAGAACTCGAGGGGAAAAACAATGTTGAACTCAGTTCTTGACCGGTACGGTGGTCTAGGCCCGGATTAAGAGGCGCGATTCACGTATCCTCTTTCACAAGTACATCAACCAAAATGGTCCTCATACCATCTCCTCCCCATCAGATGCGGTCTCATTACCAATCAGTCTGATTTGACCAATGGAACCAATCCACTTGCCTCGATCGATGAGGTGTGCAGCTCCAAAGGGCATTTTCCTCTGGCCAAGTATTCCAGATCGATCGTGACGTCGGACTTCCCTCTTGTCGGGAACGAAACCAAATCTAAGCAAATATGAGTTTGGGTAAATCTTCTCGAATAATCCACGCATATATGCGGTCAGCTTCTTGAAGTGAGAGATAATGGAGGTCCACCCAGGTTTCTGAAACCAGCGTGTGAACAAACTAATCGACTACTCTATTAGACTCAACAGTACTCGAGTTGAGTTTATTTAAGTATGAGTAGGCCGTTTGCTTGGTTAGGTTAAGCAGTGGATTTAACTACTCAAAACCTACTTAAGTAGGATTATAAATAGTATAGTAACTAAAGTATAAGAAAATTATTCTTAAAAGCTAGCTCTCTAGGAACCTTTTCCTTATCTGGTTCCGTGTAAAACCCTAGCTTTTCATGTTTGTTGTTACCTTGAAACCCACCTTAGAGATCGTGTTCCTATTCATTAAGATTATATTAGCTCCCTAGCTAAATAACCGCTCGCGAAGAGTACTTGTCGCCGGGGTTAGTATTTCCTCGCTAAAATAGCTAGAGTAGGGTCCGAGTAGGTGGACCGGCTGACCGAGATGTCGCCAGGGACTCGGGCCTGCCGACTCCGGTTACTTAAATAGTAATTAAAGCTTATTGTTACAAACTGGGCATCTAGGGTTTGTTACGTGTTTGATGGCTACCTCTTTTCCTACTTAAAGGGGGTGGATAGCTAATACTAGAAACTGTTGCGTAGATTATATATGAAAAAAGTCTATATCGCCTAGATATAAATCTATAATTCGCTGGTTTAGCTAAAATACAGGGCCGAGACGTACTATGATCAGCAACAGCGTCCAGCATTAACTGTCCACCCCCTTTATATAGTAGATTTTTCCCTCGTCTAAACTAGACTCCTTAGAGAGTTTTCACCTACTTTTACGGCCCCTTCTGTGGGCGATACTTATCGAGCTATTAGCGAGTTACTTTAAATAGCAATTTTCACCACTCGAGTTAAGTTAAGTAGATACTCCTGCTTAACTCAACTACTCCAATTGTAGACGCTGTCTGAAATATATTCTGCTATCCACAAACAGGTACCATCTTTTGAGGAAAAGATGCCTTTCGTGCCAGGGCATGGTAATGATAGGTTATCAGACACCTGTATCAAATATCTTGCCTTCAAATCCACAGCACGACTTCTTGGTACAATTATTAGGAATACTAGTAATGCCTGAAAATCATGAGTCCGTCAAATGCAAGCAAGGGCATTGCGCGAATTGGCTAAGTTATACCAGACTAATAACCAGAGTGGAAGATACTATCCACTGGGAGTGACATGGTCAATGTGAATTCGAAGGACTAACTCACTCTCATCCTGAGGTTACAAGATGGTGAAGGGAAGATTTTCTCCAAAAGATAGTACACCCTTTACCCAGGTCTACATCTTGGAATTTCACTCTCCTGTTCTGTAAAGAGAACAGCCAAGTTAGCAAAGCCTTATACCACTCGTCATCCACGCTACCAAAACATTGGCCCACTTGGATAACAATCCCCAAAGTCTGGAAGACAATCATACTCGCAACCTCCTTACATATTAAACTAACTACCGTATCTCAAATTTGCAGAAGAACAGTAAGGTTGGAAGTTAACATCAACCCCTTCTTTCACATGGAAAGCGGTTACCTCATTCAGCTTTCATAGGATCTTAGTCTTATAATGTCGTCACAAAAAGCGACGCGTCCACAATGTCCTCGCTTAAAATCCACTCGAGAATTGCCACTTGAAAGAAACATATAAGAGTAAGAGACGTTAAAGAGAAAGAAACCACACCTTGAACATTTTAAATGAAAACGTGGAGGTCCATCGCTCACACCATGCTCCGTCCTCAACCCGCAATCAGCTATCTCATCGCACAGCAACGACACCTCGCTTATCCCAACCCATCCCCGCCTCCACAAAAAACCCCCAAAAACCAGCAAAACCTTACGGTCTCCCAACGAAGACCCAGGAAACACCCCGGAAGGAATCATCACAATGTCAAGGGCCAGCAGTCGACCCTCTGAAAGCCAGGCCAGCTTGCCCGCAAGCCAAGCCAGCTTTCTCGCCCGAGAATCCTCCACGATCATTCCCGCGCTCCTCGAGCTGACCCCTACCACGCCCCGGGTAGGACTAGGACTAGGACAGGTCGACGAGCACTCCCCGAGTTGGCTCCAGCGTGTGGTCGATGCCGTCATCGCGCCAGCTGGGCAAGAGAAGAGAGTTGCTGATTGGTCCGGGGGGTTTTCTTATTTGGCATGATGGACGAGTGGAGTGGTGGGTGAGTGGGGCGTGTAGGCTTGGTTCTTGGATGGTCTTTGTGGATTTGTGCCAATGGGGGTAGGGGGTCTTGTGTGTGGTTGGAGTGTGGTTGCTATAGTAAATGGGATTGTTCGCTAAGAGTGTGTACTCGTTTAGACTAGACCTAGGAATTTCAGTAGCGGTATCTCCTAGTAATTAAGCATACAAAAGCGCTGCACATTACTCAAGTTCATAGTCTAAAAACATGTTCTGTTCATCTGCTCCCACGATTGTCTACAAACTCGGATCGAGATGTATATTAGCCTTTAAGCCGAATCACCAAGATTAAAAGCAAAGAAACGGCTTCCACCTGGTGATCCACTGTTGTTAAGAGTTTAGCAGCAGCATGAACGCGTCGCCGTCCTCTCTTCTCTTGTCTTTTCCCCCTTCACCCAAGCGACGTCCCACTTTTCGAAGGTTATCTAGCTCTACTTCCCCCTTCCTTCGAACCCGCCTACCCGCTGCCCACATATAGGTAACCTCTTACCAGCCACCCAAAACACAACGCACAAATCAACATCCTTTTAGCCCCCACCCTCCATCTTGGAAATATCGCTTACCTTCTCCTTCCATTCCTTTTCTCCAATTCCCTTATTTATATTCTCGTTCTCCTTGCGCCGAGTATATACTCCATCCGCGAGAAAAAGCAGAAAGAAATCATCGAGATTCGAATGATACATAAGCTACATACGACGGAGCAGTTCAGTGGCGTTGAGATGATCTTCAGGCCCACTTCAGGGAAGCGGTAAGAAGTTGTATTTCCTTCGTTCTTATGATCTCGCAAGGATTCTCTTTTTCTATGTTTTCATTCTTGGGGTTGGGTACTTTAGTTTTTAAGTTTCAAAAATAAAGGTTCGTTGAGTATGCTAAAGAGGTATGCATAAGTATTCATGAGTTCGGGTACTAGTAGTATTTCTATTATGGAGAGGATAGCTCCCTGGTTTTTGATACCTGGATTGTTACAGTAACTAGTGTCCGTGACTAGGAAACCACGATGAATGATGAATGGGTTGAAAGGGGATCGTGTGAACTGGAGCTTAATGGACTTAATTGTGAGGAGCGATGGGAAGGTCTCAGAAATCGAAACTTAGACAAACATCAAAGTCCAAAGCGTACCAAAACCCCATCCTCTCATAAATAATATTCATCCAAGGAGTAAAACTCAAGCTCAATCCCCCCCCCCCNCCTCCCATTCAACACTCTCCCAGCACATCCGACCAAACTCCCCTCTCCCTCGACATCTCCAACCCCCGTCCAAAAGAACAAACCCCCATTCCCCTCTCGAGCACATACTCCGCCTTCCGCCTAATACTCACCACCCCATCAAAAGAAACGAACCCAAACCCCTTCTCAGAATCCACATACCACTCCGCGACACAGTCCTCATCAACCACCGCGTCACGTCGCCATACCAGATCCATATCGCGATACTCCACCTCCCCTCCTCCCTGAAAAGATTGGCCCGGGGCTGTAGCACCAGGAAAGTAGCGCGCGTACAAGGGGATACCTAGGATTAGTTTAGACGCTGGGAAGCGCTGGGAGAGGATGTATTGTACGGCGTTGTGGGTGGATTTTTGGAGGCAGGGGTTAGTGTTGTTACAGGTGAATGGGGGAGAGAAGAGTTGTGCGTGGTGGCCCGAGACCTCGGCCCAAGGGCATGTGAAGTCGTAGGCCATGAGGTTGAGGAAGGAGAGGTACTGGGATGCTTCGAGCAGGTGGATATTTTTCAGGCAGTAGGTGCCGGTTGGGAGGGCGGTGGTGAGCAGGTAGGGAGGTGGGAGGTGCCGCCGGGTTGTGTGGAGGAGGTGGATGTAGTTTTTACCGCAGCTGGGGGTTTGGGGGTGTTCCCAGTCGACTGGTGATTTGGTTAGTTGGGGTTTTTGAGAATGTTATGGTTTTTGTTTGAGGGTAGATTGTTTCGGGGGGTAACTGGTACCGTCGATTCCGTCGAGTGAGAATCTATCGATGAATTCTCGGGAGGTTCTGGCGAAGTTCTCACGACCAGTCGAAGTCGCTGCGAAGATGGGAAAGTTGGCACTGCCACTTCCACCCCCCACAGATAACAGTGTCTTGAGATTAGGCTTTTGAAGCTTCAATTTTGCGAGTGCTGCAAGACAACCTTTCTCGCCATCCACTTCTCGCTCGGTATCAGCGTGTTTATCCAGAAGCTATCAAATATCAGATTTTGTCAATTCCATGCTAAGGAGACTTGGTAGGTAGACTCACTCCCAAAGTGCCATCATCGTTAACCCTGTATACAGTTAGTAAAGTATATCATGAAGGAAAGAAAGTTGATACGTAGCAAAAGCGTAGAAGATGTGTGTAACAGAGCTGACATCCAATGTAGCTGGAGAACGCCCCTTGTAAACCTTCCAAGAGGGGGGTAATAGATTGCGTTGATATAAGAAGTCATAATTTGGTATGTGAGGTCTGGACTTCTAACTTGCTCAAGTGAACTTCCTTCTTTCTAGGATGTCAAGGAAGCATGTATTTGGGTCGTAAAATGACATAGCAAGGATTATTTCAACCCCCCGTGAATAGTTGCTCTCTTGACAGATCTTGATGATTTTCCGCTTGGAGAAAGCATGCGGTGTAACGAGAAACAAGCCATGTTGTAAGCAACTTGCTTCAGCTCGGGTCCTTTAAGTACAGTAACAGACCGTCTCTGGAGAATCCTGATTCTTTTGTGTGACACTTGACACTTGAATCGTTGAAGTACACAAGAAACAAAAGTTACGGGGATTGAAGCGGGAAATCCATATGTAGCCCAGAGACGATATATACCAGCAGAAATATAACTGTGGTGTTGTGGTGTTGTAGAATCACGCCAGGAAGGGGGCGGGGGGTATGGGGATGTTTCGCATCAGAGCAATTGACTATACAGTACCTCCGTACTACAGTACTCGACACTTCCCCCAACAACAACACCATACACAGCAGAAACACAGCCATCAATCGCATTCACCACGACACGACGACAATTTAGTTCATGACGAATGTCAATGTCCCATGGTCTCGGCTACGATCGGAGTCAAGAGGCGATGCGCCACAAATGATACCATACCTTCCTCCCGTCTTTTCCACAGCAGAGCGCGGCAATACGCCCACGCCTAGCCTAGCCACACGATGAGATGTAAATGATGGATGGATTGGCACGCTTGGGATCCAATGGAACACGGACGAATGAAGGAGTTGCGATATCGCACGATGTGGTAATAGCCGTGGGGGTTCCTTGCCGTGCTCTAGACTCTGGTAGCTTCAAGAAGCTCTATACAAGTAGTCGGGTAGAATGTCCAGCGAGCAGTGAGCAGCATCTTTGCAATTGACTCAACACCATCAATGCTGAAATATGGCGGACGAAAAGAAGACTTTCCCATCCGATACTGGATATGCGAGAGCGATCCATGCGCCGAGTGTGGACGTGGAAGACCACGATGTCGCGATTACGATGGTGGGGGAGCATAGGCAGGAGCTTGACCCCGCGGCAGAAGCTCGAGTCGTGCGGAAGCTCGACCTCTTTTTGATCCCGGCGATGATCATTCTGTATGGATTTGTCTACTATGATAGTATGCCCCTTCCACTCCCATCTTTGCCATTGCCAGCTCTGACAATCCTGCAGAAGCGATCCTCGGATCCGCAGTCCTCTTTGGCATGACCACAGATCTCCACCTCTCCCGAGTTCTTCCCACCAACCCTCCCACGACCGATACCTCGCGTCTGAGCTGGGCGACCTCAATGTTCTACTTTGGCATGCTGGCAGGTCTATACCCCATGACCTTTGCCCTACAGAGATTCAACATGGGACGGATTCTCGGCGTGGTGGTTTGCTTCTGGGCATTGGTGTGTCTGCTCACGGCGGCAGTGACAAGCTGGCAAGGTCTCTACGCGCAACGGTTCTTTTTGGGATTCGTGGAGAGTATTATCCCCACGGGTCTCATGTGTATCGTGACTTCGTTCTATACGCAAAAAGAGCAATCCCTGCGACAGAGCTGGTGGTTCTCTTCCACTGGTATATTTACCATTGTTGGTGGGGCCTTGAACTATGGATTTGGACAGATTAAAGGAGGGGCCTTGAAGAGATGGCAGTACATCTACCTCCTAGCTGGATCATTGACTTTCCTACTAGGTCTTGGCTGCTTCTTCGTGCCTTCGTCTCCTACATCTGCGTGGTTCCTTACCAAAGACGAAAGATTCATTGCTACCGAGCGCCTGAGAACGGGACAAACTGGAGTCCGCTGCACGAAATTCAAGTGGTATCAAATCCGTGAATCAATTCTCGATATCAAAGTATGGCTTATCGCCTTGATGATGGCATCAGCCTACACCGTCAATGGGGCAGTCAGTGGTTTCGGTCCCTTGATCGTTTCCACGTTTGGGTATTCAAATCTGGATTCTATCCTCTTTCAATTCCCCCTGGGCGGTATTTGTCTTCTTAGTATTCTCCTCACTGGCTATCTATCTTCTCGTTTCCCAAATGTTCGTGTCATATTGCTCATCATCTGTTGTCTACCTGTCATTGCAGGCTGTGCAATCATCTGGAAAAGCTCGTGGTTTCATCGAGCAGCCGCTCCCGTTGTCGGCTACTCCATCATCGGGTTCTTCGGCGCAGTCGTCTCGCTCGTAATCACACTGGGTATGGCCAATGTCGCTGGACAAACCAAAAAGTGCTTCATGGCAGCCACGATCTTCGTTGCCTACTGCGTGGGAAATATTGTGGGTCCTCAGTTGATCAAATCACAGACCAAATCTCGACATTACCCTGAACTATGGACGGGTCTGATAATTTGGTATATCCTTCTTACACCCCATCGTCTCCTGTCTCTGCTTACCAATCGATATAGCTATTGCATCACGATTACCTCTGCGATTGCGTTATACATCGTTCTTTGGAGGGAAAACAAACGCAGGGAGGGCTTGGATCTGAATGAGACTGAGAGAGGTAAGATGGCTTTCCATGATTTGACGGATAAGGAGAACCCGTATTTTCGGTACATGATGTAGGATGGAAGGTTGGGGGAGGTTTCTGAGCATACTATAGTGCTGTATCCCTTCCAGACAATCAAGTGCCAAAAAAAGGGGCACCAAAAGTGGAGTAAAGCATCCATTTTTCCAACATCTTCTCCGCAAAATAAAGCCGTTTAGCCAACTAGCCAACTAGCCAACTAGCCAACCAAAACACGTTACCAAGTATTTGAGCCTCACTTTGACCCAGTTAACCACCTGCATCCACTTTGAGTGCACGTTTTCTTTTTGGCACTTGGTTGTCTGGAAGGGATACCTGGTCCTGTAGTGAATAAATTGAGTTATACTGGAACTCTACGAGCACTACTCGTATGATTTCGTAGATACCAGTACACTTTTCGAACGGAGGGGCAGCGAGGCAGTCTTATCTTCAGCGGTGATATTTCCTAATGAAGCACATCCCCGAAGAGACATGGTCGTTATTCTGTACAGTATACTCCCCTCTTCAAATAAGCTTTTTTTACAAGGACGAGTGTTATACAATTAACATACCTAGGTAGCTAGCTATATCAAGAGCTTAGAAAAATTGTTACCGGTTACTTTTTATAAGCTTACCTTGGTATTAGTATAACCAACTTCCTAGGTTTTACCTAGGAGTAGAATTTTAGTAAAAATAACTTTTTATATAGTTTATTATCTTACCTCGGTTCCCCGCGCGTACCGAGGTGTCGACCTCCAAATCCTTCGCAGGATTCAACGACGCCAATCCACAGAACATCCCCTCTATTTCCCCATCCAAGCCCTTCAATTCGTCGTCCCGCGCTCTAGAAAACCATCCACATCCACTCTTTCGCGTTAAAATCTGCAGCCAAGTCCCACCCCTCCACCATCCTACTACCCCGCCCTAAAAAAAACCTACGTACACAGCTCAACTCATTTTAAATGTCAAATAAAAAGGCTCTGGATCCCCCGCACCTCCAAAAATTTCTTGGTGAAAGGAAAAACAAGGAAAGAAAGGAATTGCGGAAATCGAAATCATGTCGAAATCTACCTACCAAACCGTTGTCCTGGCTAAACGGCCCACGGCCACTATCGTCCCGGGGGAAACTTTTGAGGTTAAGGAGAGGCCGCTTTTGACGGAGAGGGATTTGGGGGCGGGAGATGTGTTGGTTGAGACGCTTTATCTGAGTTTGGATCCGGCTATGAGGGGGTGGTTGAATGGTATTGTTGTTTGGCTTTTTTGTTTACTTCCTTTTCTTGTCCAGATTTTCCTCGCTTGGTTGCTTGATGTTGTTTAGGGGCTGAGGAGAGGAGATGGGGATTGAATGGATTGAATGGGATAGAAAACTGACGAATCTATCCACAGACACCCGCTCCTACGTCCCCCCCGTCCAAATCGGCGAAAAGATGCGCGGCTTCTGCATCGGCAAAGTGCTCGCCACGCAAAGCCTCAAATTCCCCATCGGGGCCCACGTCGCCTGCTCGCACGGCTGGACCGAACTCTCCATCATCAAAGACACGGAGCCGACCCTCCGCATCGTCGAGGTCCCGCAAGGTGGCAAGCTCACCGATACCCTTGGGGTCCTCGGCGGCACGGGTCTCACGGCCTACTTTGGCATGCTCGATATCGGACAGGTGAAAGCGGGGGATTTCGTCGTGGTCTCGGGGGCGGCGGGCGCGACGGGGAGTGTGGCGTGTCAGATTGCGAAGTTGAAGGGTGCGAGGGTGTTGGGGATTGCGGGGAGTGAGGAGAAGGTAAAGTGGTTGAGGGAGTTGGGGTGTGATGATGCGGTTAATNGGCGTGTCAGATTGCGAAGTTGAAGGGTGCGAGGGTGTTGGGGATTGCGGGGAGTGAGGAGAAGGTAAAGTGGTTGAGGGAGTTGGGGTGTGATGATGCGGTTAATTATAAGAGCGAGAATTTTGCGAGGGAGTTCAAGGAGAAGACGGCGGAGTTGATTGATGTTTTTTATGACAATGTGGGTGGCGAGATACTGGAGTTGGCGTTGAGTCGGGCGAAGGAGCATAGTCGGTTTGTGATGTGTGGGGCTATTAGTCAGTATAATTCTGCGAAGCCACAGGGTCCTAAGGTATGTTCTTTTTTTTCTACCCCCTCTCATACCCCCTTCCCTTTTTCCTCACTCTCCCCTTCCTTCCTCTCTCCGTTTTCCCCCTTCCCTTAGGCCGTCCCACCTCCCCCTTCCATTCCAAATTTCATCGCCCNCCCCCTTCCCTTTTTCCTCACTCTCCCCTTCCTTCCTCTCTCCGTTTTCCCCCTTCCCTTAGGCCGTCCCACCTCCCCCTTCCATTCCAAATTTCATCGCCCCCCCCTTCTTTGCTACAGTATTAATATTAATCTTCATCCAGAACTTCTCCATGATCATCGCCATGCGTATCAAGCTCCAAGGCTTCATCGTCTTCGACTACGCGCCCCGCTACGCCGAGGCCCGCAAGGATCTCACGCAATGGCTGGAAGAGGGGAAGATCCAGCGGAAGGAGACGGTGATGAAGGGCGGGTTGGCGATTGCTGATAAGGCGTTGATGGAGTTGTATAATGGGGTTAATACTGGTATGTTATTATCCTTTCTCTGTTTCTTTGTCTTGGGGGGGTTGGTAAGGGAAAGTGGAGGGGGAGAGAGATAATCGGTGGTTATGGAAAGTGCGTGGGAAAGTTGGGAGGAATGCTAATTTGGATTCATAGGTAAATTACTCGTCGAGGTTAAAGCTGAGGAGGGCTTGGGGTCGAAATTATAGATTTTTGTTTGTAGTGTATATAGCATTATGCATCCTGTCTTCCTAATGGTAGACGGGAAATTAAAAACGCGATTCGGTACTACCTGCTTAGTAGTATGACTGTAAGCTGTCTTAATCCCAGATGCTCGTGAAAAAGTTTAATAGGTACCTAGGCTAGGCGAAAAGAGGAGGTAGTCGGAAAAATAAAGCTTATTCGAAAGTTCTTTTTAGGAGGAGAGAATGGAATACAAACCTGGCCCCTGGGTATACTAGGTTAGTATACCTACTTACTTATATATATATAGATATATTTGTCACTAATCCTAAGCTTTATCCAAGCTTTCTATTATCCGAACGTAAGGGGTTGGTCGGCCTAGTACTTTTTAGTCGGGTTATTTAATAAATGCTAGAGTGTAAAACTATATTCTAGAGCTTATGTAAAATGGAATGGAATTTTCAATATAGCGGTATAAGTGAGGGGTCTGGAATAGAATGGAGTTCTTGATACCGGAAAGAGAGCTGTTTCTGGATCTTGATGAGAAATGTTCTATATTAGGTGGGAACTTTTCCTTTCATATTAAGCGACTAAACTCGCGAGTCGAAGTAAAGTATAGTACAGTAATACGCCGGAGTACTACACTACTATACCAAGGCATTACTAAAGTCCCATTATATGTATCTGTCCATAGAGTTACGCAGGTCTTACCGAGTCACATCTACCGGTACAGTACATAATGTAATCATGAATGTACAGTACAGTACAGTAGTTAGCATAATCAAATCTCTACCAGTAAACACTAATGGGATCCTCCCAGTTTCGGTTTTCTGGCATTTTTCATGTTGAATCCTTCGAACGTGGATTAAGCGTCTTTCCGTGTTTGGAATCCCCATAATGTGGTATAGGAGGGTGGGTCTTACTGGTAGAGTACGGTATTAATTGTGTATACTGGTACCTTTCCAGAGATCCCTTCATGCAACGTTGAGTTCGTCCGACTCCGCTCGGCGAGGAGGAAGTGGGGGGACCGGGACCGGTAATGTGAAAGATGGAAATGGGAGATCGAGGTGAATGACGTGTTGTGTGGAGTTGGATGTGGTGGATACTGGGCGCATACTGATTAATGTACAGTGGGGATTTGAGATTGCTGGACTGACAGGGTGTTGGTTGTTTTCATGGAGCTGCTGGGATTTTCTTGGTTGTACTTTTACTGTGTCGTATCTTTATGGACCTTTTAGGGAGATTTGTAGTGCGCACTACGCTGTTTGGTAGCGTAGAGGACACTGGGATGCATGAATTTAGGGTGTTTTATTATATCTAATAAGATAGCATTTTTAGTGTTAGATAGAATAAGCGATAAAATAAGCGAATTAGACTTGCGTCTCAATTAATTCACAATTCCACTACATTACTATTCTATATATTATTTTAGAAGTAGCTATAGTAGATTACGACTCCTTTAACGCAATATATATACACTACATCTGATATTTTAGGTTTACCGAAAATGTACTTCGGTCTATAGAGGTTCAGCTAAGTCCAAGTGGTCGGGCCGGCCCAGATAATACACTATGGGGGCTTGGGTAGACTTGCTTTATAGAGTTCTACTTGGGTGGTGTTAACGTTAGAGTATTGGAAAGCAAGAGTACCTGCTATATCTAAAAATGTATATGGAAGAGTTGGATTTCGATGTATATATTATACATTAAAGGGGTGTTTGGAATAGTTACGGTAATCCTAAATCTATAATTAAACCAGACACCTAAGTTATGAATCGCAAATCGTAACAGTCACGTTTGAGGTTATTTTGAGAGAAATCGCAAGTCGTATATCGTAAAGTGGCTTAGGGTTAGGGTTATTGTTGGTACGACCTGGTTGTCGTAAAGGGTGATACACAAACATAATCTCTCTTTGTATTCATTCGTGTATGAAGAGTAAAGGTAAAGAGAGGTGGTACCCTACAAGCTTAAGTATATGAGTGGCAAGCCACTCACATGACCTAAAGCATATAGATCCACCAGGCTCTCGTACAAGGTGCTATTCACCAGAATTATATACCGACAGTTATACAGTATAATAGCGCTGGAATTAAAGTTAAAATAAGGCTATTTATAGAGAATTAAACAAGGACAAGGCACAGCATTATAGCCCCCTACCTACATCTGCACTCTTTCCCCCCTCCCATTCTCCCGCTCTTACCGCGCCCCTATTATACTCCCCTTACTCTAGCTGTTATATACTCGCTATTGTAATATAGTGTCGGGAAGAAGGAGAAGAGAACCTAGGGGAGAGAGAGAGGACAGACAAGTAGTAAACTACAATTAGCGCGATACGTAGTAGCCTAACCTCTTTAGGAAGGTAGTATTCGGGGGCTAGGAATAAGCGACACGCACGACTAAAGACTTTTCCCGATTTATATCCCCCTCCGCTACCCTCTCTCTTATCACACTCTCTCTCTCTCTTTTTCTCTCTTCTAAATAATATACTAGGGTACAAAACCCTATACGACAGTAAGTATAGGCGATAGCCGGGCGGGGGGTAGGGAGGTACGATAGCGAGGGTACGATAGTAAGGGTACGATAGTTAGGGTGCGATAGTAAGGGTGTAATAGTAAGGGTGGCGAGTATATACGTAAAAATTTCAAGGCTACAAAGTTTAAGCGATGGTAGGGGTATAGGGGTGTAGGCACTCTAGTATAGTAGTAGTAAATATATAACTTTGACGATTTACGATTTACGATTTACGATTTAGTTGCCTCTGTTTAATTATAGATTTAGGATACTATATTAGTATCTATTTTATACTTAATATTATAAGCTAAAGGTTTTTAATACTTGTAAGAAGTTTAAAATTATAAGGAATTGTTATGGTGGGGATCAAGGAATAGATTGTTCGCAAGGAGGGAAGAGAGACGCTCTTCGCACTCCTTAGGTATTTGTCTATCTACGGAAGGGTACACCCGCAACTTCGCTAAGCGAACCCTTATTCACTAAATCAAAAACTGTCACAGGAATATGAAACTTTGATTTATATAGTTCATTCCGAGTCTACGTTTTGAGCTAAAGAATAGTATGAGACTAAGGTGCACTCCTATAAGACCTTAAGATATGGATGCTTTATATACTTCCACGCAATATCCTTGTCGCCATACCTTTTATGCTTTGGGGTTATAAGAGAAACTGTATACTGGAAGTAGTCCCAAAGCAAAGTGACGGTATAATAGGAGAAAGTCTCATAATTTAAATAGATATACTCAATTAAAGAAGTACAAACAGAAAAAGAATTTACTCGGATGCCTGCCCGACGTACATCTTCATATAAAGAAAGACAAGACTGGTATATTTACAAGCAAACCCTAACCCAGACCACCCAAAAAAGCACCCCGCTACCCAAAACCCATACCCAAGGCTCAAAAACGTCACTTTTTAAAGATCAATCCAAAGACGAAATGACCAATTCTCACTCATTATTTACATGTAATTTCCTCTTGCGTTGGAGTTGGTGGTGTGGACAATGTGGATTTGTGACTTGTCCATGGACTTGAGGTTGATGGGCTGCATATCATCATCACCAAGGGTGGCGAACATGGTGTAGTCCTCGAAGCCCTTGACGTTCATCTTTCTCATCAGAGGGCCGAGTTCGAGGATACCGGCGACGATTATACCGATACTAACTTCGGCTGCGGACCACCAGAAGACGGGTGCTGCCTCGACTGGAAATATTGTTGGCATGTTGTCTATGGTTATAAAGAGAGATAAAACTTACAAAGTGGATCCTTGGACTCTTTCAGAGTCTTAAGACCAGCGAGACGAATCACATTTGCGACTGATGCTCTGAAGATTTTGTTAGGATATGCTGATAGAGTACTGGGTTAGAGTCAACTTACAGAACTGCCAGTCCCCAGATTCCATAAATGTAGAGCTTGATTGTCTTGTTCAATCGAGAGTTGCGAAGCATGAACCATGGCGCGATGAGGAAGAGAGAATCTAAGAGAATGGTAACGAACGATAGTGCGTAACCCATATACAATTGTCCATCAAGCGGCCAGCAAGTTCCCTTCTTGGTCGGGTCCGTGAGTTCCCAAGCGTAGGAAATTGGCTTACATTGCAACAATAGGTAGAGAATAAATGCGAACGAGATTGCAAAATCCAAGAAGATCGAAACCCAGAGGAGGGCTCGGAGGAACTTGTTCTTGGTCCATTCCAAAAATGTAAGTGCGATACTGACTTTCATGGCGGATGTCAAGATGACATAGATGAGTTCGAGGAAGAAAAGGTATTTGAGCGATTCGCGGAATTTCGCTGGATTTGCGGCTCCTAAATGCCCTCCAAGACCACCTTCTGCTCCGAGGATGGCCAGAGCGAGGAGTGCCGCGTAGGAGAGGAGAGCGAGGACAATGAGATAATCATTGAGATTGAGATTCTTGGAAATTGCGGCGCGGGTGTAGATTCTTAGACCGATAAAGACGGTATTGAGAACCATGAATGCCGAAGATATCCACACCAAGAGCGGCCCATTGCCAGTAATTGCCATCTTTGCGATTGTCGGGATTTTCTATCGAAGAAAATGAGGATGGAGGGGCGGAAACCAGAATGAACAGTATGCCAGCACGAGAATGGTGTCACAAACAGGAACCCGAAGAAAACTAGGAGACAGACACGGCGACGAGAAGAGCCATTCAAGTAATAAAGGGAGATACAGGACGAACTTGGTCATGCTTCCTTTTCTGATATGAACTCAGAAACAAAACGCAGAGAAACTTTATTGCTGGTGCAAGAAACACTAGTGCACCCATAAAAAGTATGAGAAAGATGAGGCGAAACTCCAGATCTTGGACTTTGGTGCCTGATTGTGATACTTCTTCAGGGGAGGTGGTCGCAACATCACAACCTCCTTCCCAGGAACATCAAACCTCATTGATGCCATGAACCAATGGAAAGATTTTTCATGAGGGTTCCTAGGACCAAAGTCTAGATTGAATAGCCAATTCGTACAGATCTTGCCTACCTACCCCGAACGAACTTGACGAGAAATAGATTGCATAATGCTTGTTGGGAAGGCTTGTTGTGAATGGTGAGAGGGCATCGAGTTGATGATTGGTGGTTCCACTTTAGGGTGGTGTAGCCGAAGCTTCCCCTGAAACCGTACTACCGGTAGTTCCGCACTGTCCTCCTGGACCTCCCCTGATATCCGTTACATGTGGCGTCATTGATACGGATACAGTACACACCCTCATAAGCTTTGGGGATCTGCTCTTTAAAGTCGCTTGTCTGACAATCATGAACCTTTCCGCTCAACACAAGTCGGTAACTCCCCCAGCCGCTACTCTGTACTGTACATATGATCGGCGTCCTACATCAGCCTTGCTGCGTCACTTGGAATGCCGTATCTTACCGGCAGACAAAACTAGTCTTGTGAAGCTGCGTACTCGTATTTCACTTCAAAATTCGCATCAACTAAGAAAATGGGTCGAGCGACGAGGTTATGTGGAAACATAAATTAGGCCGACGTCCTAAACTCAGAGTACTCTCCCTTGTTACCGAGTTTGTGTAAGCTGGGTAAGATAAACTTCATGTCACTGGGACGATTGCGTTGTACTGCTCTCTTGCAGAACGTGACGAGTCTTTTGTGGACGAGGTAAGATATAGTCCATTTGTTATCCTCAGCACCTGGCGAATAGACCGAGGCTTTTATCGATTGGGGAACTGTCAAATATGGACAAGAGGCCAAACAGATATGTTGAAATTTATGAAAGTTTTGTAATTTTAATCCTAAAGTAGGAATTTCCTTGATATCGCTTATATTTCCTCGTTGCGTTATATATATACATTTCAATTTTTGGGTTTGCGATTTCCTTATTAAGCGGCCGGAGATGCCTAGGCGCGCTATGGGGCTTGGCACGACTAGCTCCGCACCACTTAGGCTATACTATTGTTAGGTACCAAGACTTAAAGTGGGCATCGCTAACTCAAAAATCGAAATGTACATATAACGCGACGAGGAGATACTGTAGTATGTGGCCCGTTCGTCCTACATAGTGTAGCGTGCCTCTTATCAGAAGTCCTACCATAAACTACATGATAACTCTAACAAATTTTCTCCTGACGAAAGCGAGAGTAAACTTGTATTTATCGTGAAAAGCCTAGACAAGGCTGAAGAAACTCAAAGGCTACCTAAAAGGATCCGAACAGGGTCGCCACGAAATATTACGGGACTTCTGATAAGAGGCTGTAAGGCGAGAACTTTACAAGGGAACGCGCTGTAGGAAGACGCACTAACTGTTAAGTAAGATACGATTTTAATATTCATCCTCCCCTATAGATAAACGGTTTAGGAACAGAACGCATATTGAAAGTAATAACAAACCTCAATTTAAGAAACCAGCTTATATTAGCACCTAGACCCTCATTATAAAGGCTTTTGGTGGTAGGCTTTCTTTCCCTCACGTGACCCACCCGCCCTCACCCGACGCTCACCCACCTCCAACATTTATTTGATTTTAGACGTCATTCAACGGTTCCTTTAAACGCTATTTGATAACGGCCAAGACTAGTAATTGGCCCAAAGCGACTTTATGCCGACACTTTAAAGGTTTGGCCGAATTAATATTATGAATCACGTAATCTTTTAATTTTAATATACTTTTAACTTATTACCGTCAGTGGGTAGACGGAACCTATTTATAGTAGAAATAAGCAGTTTACAGTCGTCGTTCGTGACACTTGGCGCAATAGTAATACGAAGTACAATCATCATTCCAATCCACATATTCTCTCCGTCAAATCCCACCCTTCTAAAAACGCCTTGTAGTTATCCCGGCCTAGTCTCACGGATCAAACTGATACAGACCCCCCTTCCGATCTAAATAGAAAGAAAGCTTTGCGTGAGTCATATACCCCTAGTACACTCGACACTCGCTAAGCATCCCCCCCTTTACTAGCCGGACGCGCTTAGCGAAGGATAAGCAAGGGATAGATGGCTAGCGAACCACTGAGTAGCAAATGCACACTTCGCGTCAAGTTTTCTTTTCGCCGTGTCTTGGTCTAGTATAAAAGAATGTTTCACTACTCAGCAAATATTCACCGTATCGTAGACTACATATTATTATGTATAATACTTGAATATTATTCGAGAATTACTTGAACGTTTGAACGGAAAGATACTATTATTATATTATGTGGAAATTATAAGCCCTGTAGTATTCTATATTAAAATACATATAAAATAATGCCTAAACTGTCTAGGAAAACAGTGTTCTCTAATTTGCTATTCTTCGCGCAAATCTAGATAAAGTAATCTCACTTCAAATTAGAATTAGTACCAGAGTTTCTAGAAAGCCAAACTTAATAATTGCAGAAAGCCTAAAAAGAATGGTATGAAGAAGTATACATCTTAGTTTTCTTAGATAGTTTATATCCCTTCATACGAGTAAATCTATTATTACTCGTAGTAGATCTCTTTTCTAATTAATAAAAATATAGAAAACAAGCTCAAGAGAGTGTATAACGGTTGTAACTAGCACGAAAGCTGGTTTACTAAGGAGATATATATTAATAAATAACCGCTACTATTCTTAATATAAACTTACTTGGAGCAAGTTCTAGGTAAACTACTAGTAGAGTGTTTCTTATTTGTCTTTGTAACTTAATCTATATACCAAGGACATGTAGAATAAGATGAGATTTCACTCCTTGATTAAAGGGTCTGGAGTAACAAATTGTCTAGACAAGGTGGTGAAAAGTCAGTTTCTTATTAGGTGATCCGCCTCTAGGATTCTATTCACTTGGGATTATAATGCTGAACTTCTTTACAAGTGCTAAAGATTAATTCTATAGTTAGGCTAATACAGCATCCTGAATCTACCACTAAACCAGATAACTAAATCGCAAATCGTACATCGCAAAAGTCATATATCTACTACTACTATACTAGAGTGCCTAAGCCCCTATACCCCCACCCTCGCTTAAACTTTGTAGCCTTGAAATTTTCACGTGTATACTCGCTACCCCTACTGTCGTACCCTTACTGTCGCACCCCCTTACTATTACCACCCCCTAACGGCTGTCGCCTACACTAACTGTTGTATAGGGGGTTGTACCCTAGTATGTTATTTAGAAGAGAGAAAAAGAGAGAGAGAGGGGGTAAGAGAGAGGGGGTAAGAGAGAGGGGGTAAGAGAGAGGGTAGCGAAGGGGGATAGAAGTCGGGAAAAGTTTTTAGTTGTACGTGTCGCTTATTCCCAGTCCCCGAATACTACCTTCCCAAAGAGGTTAGACTAGTACGTTTTACCTTAATAATTGTTTACTACTCGTACTTGTCTATCCTTACTCTCCATCCTACTTTCTCAGATTCTCTTCTCTTTCTTTCCGATAACCCGTTACGATAACCCTTAACGACAGCGACAACGATAGTAATAACGAGAAGGGAAAGGGGGTATTTACTTGCCGGGGGGCGGGGGGTCACGTTACGACAAAACCTACTAGAGCGGGGGTATATAATTAGTATGTGTAAGACACGTGTTAGGGGGGAGTAAGGGTAGGGGCGAGGGGGGAAGAAGGGGTTACTAAGAGGGGCGGGCGTGTAAAAGGGCACACCGGCGGACTTATATAATAATACTATACGAAATTATTTAGACCAACCCGACTTTATTATCTGCCTATTATAAAGTGTCTTTTACGATTTGCGATTTACGATTTGGTTATCTAGTTTAGTAGTAGATTCAGGATGCCGTAGCTGAAGACATAAGTATATCCTACGATCCTGTTACTCTTAGAGACTATACTCATATCCAAATCTGCCAGCGATATTTTAGTACAACTTCATGTTTATGTGACTGATAAGTGTCTTGATTTTGTGAAATGGTCATGTGACAGTTTGTATTCTACCTTCGCTTAAATATGACGCATGCCAAGAGCCTGTTCATTAATGGTCTATGGAGTAACCACCAACTGGCTGCCTTTTAAACCCCACCAACTCCAATCTCACGACCTACCAGAGTACAGCTGCAGATGTCAATTGAGTCTTAGAGGGCAAGCTGGGCGCTTCCCTCCTCACTCTGGACAAGCAACAAAGATCAAACCCCCAAATTTTGCACAAGAAACTTACCTGGAGTGAATATCTCCTCCCCTCCAGCCGCTCCCCCCAAAAAATCATTCTTCTCAAGCACTTCTAGATCATATGACTGATCCCTGGTCGCAGTCATTCTTTCTTCCGCTTCTTTGTTCCGCTACATCTATAACTGAAATGCAGGGTGTGCGGATTGGACTCAGCAATGCCAGTGCTGCTGCAGCCCACGAAACTCGGGCTCAAGAATCGGCCTTCGTCATTTCATCCCAAACTACGCAAACTTCCGCAGCTGTCAAAGGTTCTGAGAACAAACGCCATCAGCTTGAGACAATGGAGCATATAGGCGAGACCAGTGATCGTAACACGTCAAACTTGGGATGGGATAGGGCTGTCTGCTTCACCAAGTCCTCTGCAAATACCATCATTCGCTACCAAGATGCTTCGCAAACTTTGAAAGGAACCACTGCAACCAGTCTTCAGCGTAGCCAGGCCATGGATGACAGAATTGTGAGCAGTGAAATTCTCAAAGTTCATCATGCCCCGGAAGACAATACTGTGGCAGCCTTGTCTAGTGAAGTCGCATCCATTCCTTCATTTACAGAGTTTACCCTATTTCCTGAACTCCCAGTTGAGCTTCGGTTATCAGTTAGGTCCCTCGCCGTCAATAACTTGCCGGGTCATGTATATGAAATTAGGCGCAAGATACATGAGGTCTCCTCAGATTCATACTCGACTGCCTCCCAAACCCCCAGCGAATATTATATCTATGACAACAATCCTCAGCGCGGAATTGAATCTGTTTGTCGCGAAGCCCGCACGGCATTTCCCGAATTACGCACATTGATCTTCAAAGGAGACGCAGCAAATGTTAGTGGTAAAAATGGCCGAGTAAATCTTGAAAATGACACTCTCTTCTTCGGCACGGCGATTGGCTTTCAGGAGCTAGAACAGATAACTTTCGAGATGGGTATTGATACTAGTGAGAAGGTTCGACACATTTGTAGAATGCAATGGTCTGACTTTTTCTTCTGGAATTTCAATGACAAACATTCCGACAATACCGCTCATTGGCCGGATGATGGATCGACGATTCTTCAGTATTTTACAAGGTTAGAGCGAATTGGCCTAACTTTAGCGGGGACGGTCAGATACGCAGACAACCATGAAAGGTATGGATGGAAGCAGAACCTTGTGGAAGTGGAGGAAGGACTGAACACATGGGATGAAGCGGTCCTTAAAATGACACGAGAAACTCTGTGGGATGACTGGAAAGACTACCAATATCGGTGTGCGCGCACACATGGGTGTGTTGACAAAAGTCAAACGTTTCCTCGGGTTACAAGCATGCAGTACACACGATTCTATTAGTTGACATAAGACGAGTGCAAGGAGCAGCGGTGCGGAATATCGTTTTGTGCCCGTGGAATACTTGTACTCATAGATCAAGTCCCTTCTTCCGAGTCTGCAATCAGATTTTGAAATTGAGAACCAAGCCCTCTTTCTTTCAAGGCATTTCAATGATAATGCAACATATTCGCGATTCAGAATTGTGTGTGCGGCCAGTGACCGTTTAAGTATCTCTTCTTAATGGCGCACAGTTCATGGTGATCCATAAACCACTCTAGGTTTAGATCAACCTAACAAATGCCAGAGGGGGTTTCAACTGTGCATATACAATATAACCTCCTAATTCGTAAAATAAGTGCAACCAGAGGCTAGCTCATAGAGCTTCCCAAAATGTTTGATATCTTTGTGCCTGTAGAGGACATGAAGCCCATGGTATTGGCCAATAGTCGATTTGAGGGTTGCCATAGCACACATAGTCTGAGAAGTGCAGTTTCAATACAATATCAGATTCTTTTCTTCCTGTTCCACAGAGCATTGGTTGGGCTTTTGAATGGTCTGGGCAATAATTAACGGGAATGGAAATTCACGGCCCCGGTCGGCATAGAGGTTTCCAGGCTCCTATCGTCTCTTTGAAATAAAGCTTCTTGATATCCATTGTAAACACATACTCGTGATTCACGTAGCTTCTGGACCAAGAGACTAGAGTTTGGTCTCGCAATCTACCTCATTCAAAGAGTTTCAGGGAATGTGAAATTTGCTACAGGTAGCTTATAAAAATCATGAGACGTGGGTCAGAACTTATCTTAACCATGGAAGATTCAGCGTGCGATTTGTCTTCTGCATTTTGATAATTTCTTTTATTTCTTATACTGACTTCGGGACGGACGAGCTGTTAATCTCTCTGATAATTGATTGGCCCATAGCCACCATTCCCCCCGGGGGATCTAGAGACACCCCTATCGAAGACTTGTAATTTTTCTTATGGTTCATAGGATGCACATCACCACCTCCATCTTTCACTATTTCCTTTCGTTCTTCCTGGATTCCGTTCTCCTCATCCTTGGACAAGGCCAGCGTCCTATCATCCGTCGCAATTCCAAACTCAAATTGCACCCATGGATCATATGTAGTTTTCTGAGGTACCAACATCCCCGAATTTCTGAAACCTGGTGAGGTTTCACCAGACCCTTCGGACTTTGAGGAGATCATTGAAGGAAAGAGTTTGGTTTTTCGGAAGAGTGGTCGAAGGGTTGCACAAGACGAGGCGATTATGCCAAGTCCAATTTCGACGGTGCTCCATAATGCGATGTAAGTAAAATTGTATAGGAAATCATCACTGGAATTGAGATGCTTTGCGTAAGGGAAACGGGCTACTGTTGCTATCGAAGCTCTGTTAGAAACGTTAGCTGATGGAGATTAATAGAGGGAGAACAAGACGAACAAAACTCCAATTGCTAACAATCCCACAACTGACAGTTTGTCCTTGCAATCCATTTTCGCATTCCATACAAAAGAGATTGGTAGCAAGGCCAATGTCCAGTCCGCGAAGACGTTCAACAGAAAAGAGATGTATGTTGGAATCGTCATAAGTCTACGACTGTGACAATCTCCCCACCCAGGTTCTTCGGCTTTAGATGAACTAATCCTATCCCTAGACCAGTAAAATCGAACTGGGTGACATTGAAAAATAATGATAAATATGTAGGCAAAATTAAAAACTGCCAACAACGCCAGCATATTCCATATGGCAATACGTTGCCATCTTTCATGTAAGCATATTCGCAAAAGGAGAACTCCCGTGACGAATTTTATCAGAACTGCTACAGCGACATAGAAGACCTGCCCAAGCCATAGAAACATGAGAGCTTTCTCTTGTGAAGGTATTGGTACCTCATCGACGTGTGATCCGAGCCCATGCTTAATTGCAAGAAGTCCGAATATTGTGTAAGCGGTGTAAACAACCTGGAGGCCAAAATGAGTTTCATATCCACAGAATTTGCGAAAACCCTTTTTTCTTACCAAAGTGTAAACCGATAACCAATCCTCCGCAAATAAACGCCTTTTCAGGATATACAAAACCGTATAAAATCGAAGGCAAACTGCAAGAAAACTGAACAATAGAAGAGTGCACCCAACAGCAGCTAGTTCCGGTCCTCGATTGTGGCCTGCCATAATATCGAGCGACCCAAATTAATTGGTGTGCTGGGAAAGCTGGAACCAGGTGGTCGTCCGAAATTAAAGTCGCCAGCGTGGAGGTGGATTCGCGGAAGGCTGCGAACCCTTCGAATCTAAGCGTCAGAAACTTCGGTACCGATGCCCGTTGGTCCAAAGAGGAAATCCATCCGATGATATTGCCATTAGTACTTCGTCTCTTCTTTAAGAGAAACGGTCATCCAAAGAAAGTTTCTCTGTTGCTGATAAGATCGTCAGGAGTCTTGGCTGTCAGATATAGACAGTGGGGTCACAAGGCACGTCCTTGGAAAAGAAGCTTCTTTGATGCTTGAAACCAAAACATATAACGGCCTGTTTGGCTGGGGATGTATACTCAGGGTGCACCATACTAATGAGAGTTTTATACTCTTTACAAATGCTAACTCGTAACGAAGCACAGGAACGTTTGGCTAGCATGTCGAATGTGAAGCAAATAATTTTCCGAATACATTAAATTAGCTTCATTCGGAATGCGCTATTTGCAATCGAAGTGGTATAAAACCAGTGTTTGTTAAATGTAAATACAACAAGTTTATTCCACCTAGTATGAAAACTACTACTTTATCTACTACTGTATATATTCATGTCTAAAATATTGGTAGAACTAAGTGGAATAGAGATGATTATTCAAACAGGTGGTGTTATTGATTCAGTAAGTAGTGGTAGTAGTTATAATCACTATAACACCACTATCAAAAGACCAATCCCAGCAATGACGTGTTTAAATATGATGTAGAAGCTTTCTTAATCCAAATAGTATTATACTCAAATATAATATCGAGTATACACTTGATAAGTAAATAGAGTTTAACTAGGTTTTGCTTATTCCAGGGTATGCTACCGAATGGATTATACGACTTTAATAGCCTCCAGTCGATCCCGTCACGCCTTTAGCCCTGTAAACCTACTTTTATACCCTGTTCTGTTCCTGGCCGTAGGCGAAGGCCCAAAAAGGTATGTCTCGTAGGCCTACATTTTAATGCTGCTTTATCTAAAGACCTTCTACAAGGGTAGAACTTGAAGCTATTTAGAACCCTAGGATTTTACTTATATATACCTAAGAAAACAATTATATAAGCTAACTAGCTACCTATTACTAGTATATTCCTAGGGACAAGAGGGCATACTAGGGAACACGATATAGGGTATACGATTTTCGAGCTTAATTACTATTATAAACGCTATCTATTAAAACGCCTCTGTAATCTATATTCCTTCTATTCTCTTTAGGTTATTCGTACTCTAGCAGGACAGAAACTTACAATTTGCCTTATACTTACAGTACTCTATTCTAAAAAGTAGCGCTTTATCGCTAAGGCTATTAAAGTCGCAGAGTGATCGACCGGAGGCCATTAAAGTCGTATAATCTACCGAATGGAGTACAACCCTATGCTCCCGAACCAAACAGGTCGTTACATGAGAGACCGAATGAACTTGGGTTCACGGGCCAGGTAGACTGCTATTTTGAGGGATACGATCATCGGATCCCACCGCAGCCACCTAACGTCACAGCTCGGCTAGTTTCTTAATAATTCTGTGATAGTTGCCAAGCTTTATGGAGTGTTTGGTATCGAATTTTGTGACGTGGGAGAACCGTAAGCGACAACATCATTACAGTAATTGATGGCTACCAGACATGTCTCCTACGCACGCGAGCCTTTGAACCCTCAGTCTTCCCCTTACCACATTGGCCTTTCAGAAGCCTGAAACAGCGTTTCTTATAAACAAACAATATACTTCTAAACGCTTGGGGACTTCTTAGTAGATCACGAAATGTCCCATGCGTATACGACATCAAATGGCGAGTCGGGCAAGTGGACACAATTGAACCGATTAAATGGTAGCCAAATTACAGTCGCTTAAATAATGCATGTATGCCCACGCACTGGCCACTATCAATTCCCTACACCTACTCTACCGTGGTAAATCGTCCTTGAGAAAAATGGGTGGATATTTCTCATATGCTTGCTAAGGGGTAGCAGAAGTTTGAAGGTCATTTTTTAAGTTACTTAGAGATGAGTTTTCTACGAGTCCCTAGGTAAAAGAGACTAACGACGATCTTTCACGTATAAAAAAAGACCTTCGCCGCAGAGTACTAGCTACTCGAAGTGGCTCGGAGCGTACGGAACGGGTCTACAAGCCCTCCCCTACTACATCCACCTATTTTTCTTAAGGACGATTTACCGCGGTACTACTTGAAGAAGGGGGTGGATAGCCAAGCATGCTCTATGTAACGTAGATCATTTATATAAAAGTATATGTCTACAGAAAGCGACCTTCTTATTCGCTAGTCTCGCTAGGAATCGGGGCCGACACATACTATTGAGTTATACCGTAGTAAGCCATTCGACTCCCAGGTGTCCACCCTCTTTACTACCATAATACCCTATATTATTTTCACTATTGGGATTACAGAATAAAGGTAGAGGGTCCAGGATTAAACGTTAGGGTTGTTTGAATATGATTTCCGGTTGTTTAATAATTATCCCTTACTCGGTAGGCAGAATCGCCTAATCAGGTTTGGCAGGTTGGGTTCTACTTCGAAGTACCAGTTTTGATTGGTTTCTGCCAGTTTTGATTATTCTCTACCGGTTTTGATTGGCGAGAGTACTAAGGCCAAACCTGATTAGGCATTTCTGCTTACCGGTTTGTGTCAGTTACGGAGTAAGGGATAGCCAAGGGCCTACATTTTGTGCCAGATGTTGCCTGTGTAGGTTGGCTCGTGTTTAATCGAATCCCTCAGATGTGAGCGTTATTATTCCCGGGTTCTCAAGATTCGAATCGCTGGGATAGACCAGAATATGACAACCTAACATTGAGACCACTGCACGGTCAGGTATTTGATTTACCAAGTAACTTGTTTTCTGGAACGTTGAGATTCTGAGGATGGATACGGAGTGGGGTGAGGACATGGGTTGAGGCTCACACTCACGTGGAGGTGCCCGAACACATGTCGTCGGAAAAGTTACCGAAGGAGGAACGTCAAAAGTGTATCCGACAGGTCCCACGGTTGATAGATCAGGAGTCCCCTGATTCAACCCGACATTCTCTGGGGTAAAAAGACCTTGTTGGTAAGAAGTCCCTAGAGGGATGAAACTTTCTCGAAAACCAATAAATGACTTCCGTATTCTACAAGGGCCTTCTAACTTCGTCGATCACGAAATATTGTTGAGAAAAACCTGATGTCGCATTTATTTCCAGGTACGGATTGTGCAGGAGGGTCGGTACCATCCTGTTACAGAAAAAACAAGGATCGTATCTATTACCCCGTATTACCGAAGCAGGGACGCAACTCCACATCTCCGTAATCGTCAATCCACAGCTGGTGGAGAGCGGGTGGATAGTCTGTGGATATCAGAAGATCGATCGCGAAGAGTGCTTGGCTACAGTTTTTCCGCTTCCCATCAACTCCGCGATCTACGAGACGACATCCCAATTTAGGGGACTCGGGAGGGTTACTGCCTAGGGGTCCTAAGAGGATCGCAGATTTGATATCCCAAGGATATTGATTGGGGTATTGTTGCTTGTCTCGTATTGAAAACGACTTTAAAAAATGATGGGTTGAAAACCGGATTTCCAAAACCCGACATGGTTACTGTATGAAATTACGCACTCCTGTCGCTTCTAACGGAATCACTTGAAACGATGCCGCTATTCTTCAGAGGCCGAGTTTCAGTAATACCAGCAGAAGTGTTCAATGTCTCCCTTTCCAGAACCAATCTACAAAAAGTGGAAGAAGAAAATTATGATATGGCAAATGATTGACAAAATTAAAGTACTACAACGCGATGAGATCAAGCTCAGGTATATAAGGAGAGAAACACAAGAAACAAAACACTGCCCTCAGGGCCCAGCAGTCTAGCCGGTGCTGTAGGAAAAACGGCAGACCAGGAGAAAACAAAATCCGCTCAAAATCAGTACCCAAAGCTAAAATCAAAAACCCAACCAAAACCCCCATATCGCCAAACCCCTCATGAATATTTAACATTAAGAATTATGAATCAAAAATTGCCCCATAAGCGGGTATTCCTCTAGCCTCCATAGCATAGACGACCATCTGCGTTAACTTTTTATTACTGATAATGCATACCGCCTCCGCATTACTTTCTCTCAACAACTGATAGGTAATAGCAACCATATCTGGTCTACCCATAGTCTTCGTATTATGAATAACGGCTTTTGGATCTGCAGCTTTCACAGCATCGCAGATCTCAGTACCGAAATTTGTTTCTGGATGTGGTGTTGACCAAAAGACTCGAGCTGGGACTTTTCTCGCGTAGATGACAGGAAGACAAGGTCCGATTCCCGAACCAGTAGCGACGAGAACAACTGATCGAAAAAGGGGCGCGATCCGTAAAACACCACAAGCGGGGATACCGCGAACCCAAAGCTTCGTTGGTGCATTATTGATTTGTCGTTTTGTCCAGTCGCCAGCATTTGAGACAATGACAGAGAACTCAGTCAAGCCTGGCTTTGCGACAGTGGCAAAAGCGTGCCATTCGAGAAGAGGCCTCTCACTCAATCTGATGGCTGTTCCAACCTCGGCTATGGTGTAATCAAAGTAGAGGCGGACAGCATGGGGGGATAGTACATCAGCTCGAACTTCAACCTTTTGAAGGTTTAGCCATGGTAAAATTACAGATAGAGTTGCTACCAAGAGTAGCCAGTATGCAGGACTTATTGAAAGAGCATGACCGAGTGTGTCTGAGCCACGCGAGGCTTCGGCAGCGAGGATGGTTTGAACCCAAAAGAGAAACAGCGCGGTCCAGCCGGCGAATCTATGAGTAAGCTCGAAGTAGTCGTGGTATTTAATCCGGAGTTTTGGGTGCGCCGAGCAGACCATGGCCGCCAGGAGCGTAACCAAAATGTAGGAAACGACCAATACCGCTGTGTGGTTGTGTTTGATTGTTGCAGTTACGGTAAAAATGATGAGCCAAATCAATGCAGCCACTCCACAGCCACTGTGCAAGCCTCCAATGTGGTAGACTTTGGCACAATTCTGTCGAAGCCATAGTGGTGCTGAAGTTGGGACCGAACAAGCAATCTTGAACAAGAAATTGATGACGATTTCCTGTCTCATCAAAACAGCCATGCAGAGGTTGGCTCCAATTGCCGTTGACATATTCTCGAGATGTCGTCCTGCCTTTCCAAAATAACCCATCAGGACGGCCGCAATGGCATTGAATATGAAAACAACTGAAAAGAATCTTCGGTATAGAGAGAATATACGATGACGCAGGGCACGAAGTCCATGGTATCCGTGTTTCGCTGGAAGCTGGAATTTTTCCGAATAGTCTGAGTCAATGGAGCCTTGACGGGTTGAATCCAGGGAATGGACCGCGACCTCAAGCATCTGTTTCTCGTTTTCTGGAGCTATCACAACAGGTGCTGGGGCTGTGATAACAACAGCAGGGGTAGAAGCTTGAACTCCGATAGATGCTATGAGTGCACGTTTGTCCACTTTCCCATTAACGGTCATTGGAAGTAAATCCACGAACCGGAAATTTGCAGGGACAGCATAATATGGTTGCCTTTCTGCTACCACAGCTTTTACAGTTGCTTCGTCGATAAATTTTGCACTTGTGTAAAATCCCCAAAGAACCTTCTCGGTAAAGATTGCACATGCTTTGGTCACCCCTGGGGTTGCCTCAATGGAGGCGGCAACGCTGTCGAGTTCTACTCGGAAGCCCTAATATTATTAACAAAGTGTTACGGACTTTATCCGAGTTTCTAACGCTTACCTTAATCTTCACTTGATCGTCGGCCCTACCCTCGTGCGCAATAGAGCCATCTGGCCGCCATCGACATAGATCACCGGTGTTGAACATTATAGATCTGGTATCAAATTAGTTAGAGTTTCAGAAAAAAACCCGAGGTATATTCTTGCCCGTCATTTTTGAACTTGTCCAGCTTGTATCTCGTTGATGTGAGTTCCGGCAAGTTCAAGTATCCCCGAGACACCGCAGCACCTCCCACCCACATTAGGCCTGTGCTGCCGATTGGAGCTGGATTTTCATTCTTATCAAGAATGTAAACACTGGTGTTTGGCAAAGGCTTTCCAATTGACAATTCCCTTCCCTGGGAGTGTTTATGCATGGTGTTTACAATTGTAACCTCCGTAGGACCTGCATGATAATAGTTAGTCATCTCTATATATAGAAAAATAAAAGAATCTTCTGGTGCATCTCGGGAGCGGGGAAAAAGTGTCAACCCGCCAGACAAACTCAACAGGAAAATATTCCCCAAGGATCTCACTTACCACAACAATTATAGAACTCTGCTTGCTCTGCCCAATCATCAGCGAGACTATAGTTTTTGTTAGCCTTTCTATGGAAAAAGTGTACGGCCAGGATACACTTACGCCTGTGGGCATGGCTCCCCAGCCACTGCCACCACATTTATATTTGGGTATTCATTTCGAGGAAATGATCCGAGGATTGATGGTGTGGATATAACGGTGTGGGCCTGTTCACTTAGCAAATGCCAAGACAAGCACGACAAAGATTCCTACCTTTTTGAGAACATGTTTCCAATCGCTTGTTCGAATCAGCAAAGTGCCGCCATTCATGAGTGTTGCGAAAATCTCCCATTGTCCTAAAAATATCAACGAAAGCCCTACGAAAATTGTGGCTTTAAACGCTTACCCATATCAAATGAAATTGAAAGTAGTTGCGCCACAAGGGTAGCTCTTCCAATATTCAAGTTGCCAGGATATGAGGTTAGCAGATTTGTGACGTTGCCGTGAGATACGTCGACTCCCTTAGGAGGACCAGTGCTTCCTAAAATTCATCAGCATAATTCATTTGCAAACTCTGAACAACCCGTACCGGATGTGTAAATTGCATATGCGCCGTCGGATTTGCTGCATTCAATCTGGAGTCTGGGGGAGGCTGTAAACTGGTTGGGTTGAGAATCGAGAACAAGTACTTTGCTGGTTGTTGGGTCTGCCAGCGATTGGACTTTATCGTGAAATCTTTCAAGGCACAGGATGAATGGCGCGCCTGTATCTTTTATGATGTGTCGAAGAGCTGATTCTGCTGTAACTTGCCCATCCAATGGAACGTATTGACAACCGCACTTTAAAACAGCTAGCATAGCAACGATCATAGGCAAAGATCTTTGCACTACCAGACAGACCCGTTGTCTGGGTTGTAAGCCCAAAGATATTAGCCGATGAGCGAGTTGATTAGCAGCATTTTCCAACGCCTGGTACGTGAGAATATTTCCTTCTTGTTCGACAGCAACAACATTTGGCTGTTGATCAACGATGCTCTCGAAAGCTTTGTGTATTAGTTGAAAAGGAGCTGGTTCTTCACGTCCGCGACCGAACTGGTTAAATATGATTTGGTCGGAAAAATTAAGGCCTTCCAGATTTTGAAATGAGGAAGACATGGTGAGATGTCGAGGTAGGAGTATAGTAAGGGGAATTAATCATATATAAAGGTTGCTAGATGGCAAGAGCCTCAGCACAATGATCCAGCAAAGGACAAGGAATTCACTTTGTAAATAACTTTGTTAAAAATTTGTGAGATTGGGGACTCAGGCATTATTATATATATCTCTTTGTCACTCCATACCTTCCCAAACCTGCGACTGGGGGATGAACATGGCCCATGGGACATGGGGCATGCCACTACAGCAAAATTGCCCCCCCGCCGATCTCCATAGCAAACCTTAACGGGTATTATAACCATAATATGGTTTGCGAGATGCCGAGACTAGGTACTGTCAGGAGAATCGAGGAATTAATTTGCTTTGGCCCAACTTGCAGGGGGGCAAAAACCTGAGTGGGAAGGAGAAACGCCTGCACAAGATGATGCTTGAAAGTAAAAATCGTGATCCATAATAATTGTAGGTTGCCCCACCTAAGCCAAACGTTATTTGGTACAGTAGCCTGCGGCCATCTTGCGCGCTGTGCGTCATACCCTAGGACTTGGCTAGTTCAAAATGAACAAAGCTACTCGTAAACAAAAGCCGATGGGACAATCTTCTAGGAAGCAGTTTTTACGGACTTCTTCCTAAGCGTAACAAACGTAAAACCTAGTTGGGACTTTAACCTGTACTGAATACGTATTCCACTTGACTATCCTACCTATGTAATACTTATCACTGTTACGTTTGTTTCGCCTCGGAGGAAGGACTTCTACGTCACTCTAGACTACAGATGGTTTATTATTATATAATCAAGAATCTTGGTGTATACTGTATTGAAAACTACTGTAGGCTAGTAGGCAGGAACTGTACAGAGAAGTAGGGACGTGCCAAAAAAAAGATCGTTTTAAGCCTAGTTATTCCCGGACTAATGTTTTCTTCCGAGGCGCAAAAAACGTAAAACTTGGTGGGAACTTGACTACAAATTCTACTGAAATACGGAACCTAGGTATCCTACATGAACCTTGTTAATACTATTCCCACGCGGTACAAGCAAGCATAATATCCTGTATCGAAAACTACACCGGACAAACTATAGGTACCGAGAACGCCACAAAAGACGGTTTTGAGCCTTAGTCATCCATCCCCAGATTGATTCCTTCTTCCAAGACGTAAGTAACAAACGTAAAAAACATAATGGGGACTTTGCCTCGTATTCCGCTGAAATACCACGCAAACCTTATTACTCGAGTACTGTCATGTTTGTTACGCCTCGGAGAAAGTACTTTAGTGTAAAGCTTGCGTCAACAATCCGCTCTAAGATTTCTCATGAGTCCAGGACCCTTGAAGTTAACACTTGCTACTGTAAAATCACCTGGATCGTCTAACACTAGCCTAGCCCCTTTACGGCAGGAGACTAAATCATACTACTAGTATATATAACGACGCTTTTTTTGATCAGTATTTCAACAAGCATGACATAGCCTCGGCTCCGACTTAAACCCAACCTTAACTTAACCCTAAGAGCTGGAGAGCCAGAGATCTACAGATCTGTCTTCCGCCCCCATGAGCCCTCTCGAACCCCTTCCTCGAAGGAATGAATAACAATTGCACGACGGGCACTAGAAGCTGAAAAAGATAAGTGCCAGGCAATTTAGTCAACCCTCCTAGATTATTTAGCAAGAGCCTCGAGGTTTATGAAGTCATATGGTTGTTACAAAAACAATTCCTTTCCGAGTATGTTGTACACTAGATACTGTCAAGTCCTGTGACTTCCTACGATACGCTAGATATTAAAAGCAAGCAAATATGCAAAGTGCGTACGTAGTGTAGTAATGGTGTTCGTGATATTATACAAGGAGAGGGTAAAGAGTACGCCAGAAATACCGCAGCTGATAAATCAAGCTTGTTTTTATCATAGAGCCCAATATTTTTTATACCCTTTCTGGAGGGTTGTTTATCTGATTTTCGTTCAAATTATTGAATAAACTGTTTTGTCAGTTACCGTTCAACCCATCGAATAAAGTGTTTCGCAAAAACCTAATTAGGCGCTTTCAACTTGTGGGTACAGTACTGTACAGTGGTACGGCGAGAAGAAAATAAGGTTAGACGGGGCGGCAACTCAAGCAACGCCAATAAACATAAAGGTAAATCCCGCGTCATGTTGGAGAAGGCCGCAGACCTGGCACAGATCGGCCCACTCTACTGATCTGACTGATCAGGGTCTTCTGTCCCGGTTAAGCAGGTGGTTATTCCATACCTATTAATTAAGATTTTGTAAGGTGGCCAAGTGCTTTGGCCTATCAGCCAATGCAATGCACAGCATGATTTCACCGGCCGTCAACAGTCTTCTGACCAAGCATGCAAAGGCCTGACTAAAAGCACCTCCTTTATGAGGAAAAATATTCAACGAGGTGGATGGCGCCATGACTTGAAAAGGGAGCAGATGTGCATTTGGATATCAAAAACTTGGGGAAGTTGGCAGACGGGCGGTTAGTGGAGGTGAGTACTGTAACCCATTTCTACCACCAATCACAACATGCAGCAGCACATGCAAGGGCGCGCCGTTGAGCCCCTGGTGATCAATTGCTTTGAAGTAGTTACTGGTGATCACGATCGCGGCTCGGTTACACTTACCCAGCCCACACCCTCCACGTACGAGTAATGCCACCAAGCCTTCCAACTGAGGTCGCTTACCTAGGTACCTAGGTAGGTTGTGGCCGTGGAGAAAACAACTCTGAGCAATGAATTCAATTGGAGGACTCGAGAAATCCTGATCAAGCGACATCAAAGGAGGACCTGAACAGACACGCTAAGAGTAGTTAAGCTCAACATGCATTTGGGGTGCGCGCCTACAGTACGCGATGCAGAACTCGTCTAGATTAGGCGCATACTCGCCAAAGTGCCGCCGTGGGAGCCGCCTTTGAGCACTCGCAAGACCAGTTGTACAAGTACTGCATAGGTAACGCTTCGTCTTTCCTTGGGAATTGGATGAACAGACTCCTATTTCCCACACTCTTACTCACAATATCCATCCATATCTCAGGTTCAGATCCTACTGTGGAGGCTCGAACCACCCACATGTGCCGTGCCATCGTGTCATTATCAGTTATGATTTATCACTGACCACTTGCATCTACCTCCATACTAACCCAGCAGTACCAGCTTTTACTTGACTCTTGAGTAGCTTTATTGCTGGAGTCTGGACGATTAGTTCTAGCATGAAAATCATTCCTCGGTATTTTCTGTCCGCCAAGTTCACGATCCTGTCCATGACAGGTATAGCCGCGAACCTGAAAGCTTAAAAGCCATCGCGTAGATTTGACATCAATGCATAGCCATGTAGGTTCCCCACACCAAGCTCAGGTGAGATACCGGTAACATGGTTAACAGTACTTTTGACAAACACAAAAACTTGAATGCTCTATTTGTGAAAGGATATACCACGTAGCCTAAAGTGTTGCTGGCGTAGGGCTAACCACCGTAGCAATCATGCCATAAAGGGCCTTGACTTGAGGCTGAACCTCTTTGAAATCCACTTTTATCTCGAGTACGGAGGGCACTCCGAGTTCCGACGCTGGTGGACGTACTCAGAGAGATGTTTAGCGAGGGCAGTTCCGGGACATTGAGATCCGCTATTTGGCAGAAAATTCCAATCAAAAGACTGCATTTTATGTAAATTTACCCTTTATATATCTAAGCTAGGTTCCGAGGGATTAGTCCACTTGAACCTTCCTGTAGAAGCTGCAATCTTAATGTTTAAAGGCCGTTACGTAGGTATAACATCAATATATACCCGTGGCATTTCCTTATATACCAAGTTTTAGGTACATACTACCCATCGTGTCATGATTAACAGAACCTTCAATAAATATTAAACCTTATGTGCATTATCTGCGATTAGATATACCTTCGTACAGACCCCCGGGTTTATTGTCCGGAAAAGGTGTCAGATAAAGAGCGGGAGTGTTTTGTTAGGGCCCTCGGAAGGCCTGCTATTTATTAGTAATGTCATCCAATTCAATGGCTGTATTATAAGTGAATTAAACTTTTGTATATTCGAGCCGGGCTTCCAAAGATTCGTCTATTTCAACCTTCCGGATGCTAAGCCCGGTGGGCTATATAAACAGTCTTCTTTCCTGATTTTTTGTTGTTAAAACAGACCGGCAGTCATCATCTGGTATATGACGATTGGCTTGCGATGCGAATTGCACTCTGCTATCCGAGTATACAGAAGTGCAAAACTATAAGCTCTACGGATCAACTGGGTTTGAAGCCAAGTCTTTTTATTTTGACTACCGTGAAAACTCGATATGGAAAGTCTATCTGTAGATGCCATATTTTTGGCTTGAACCACACCAACCCCCGCATGAGTTGCCCTTGATGCTTCGCTCAATCTGGTTTCCTAGTGTCTCATAAGACTTTCACCTTGCAGAACTGAAAAGAGGCCCCAGAGTGGCTCGGCAAAGGTTCGGCACGTCAAAAAGAAGCGCCGTGTTATTCCGTGCCAAAATGTGGCCAGCACGATTTATCGCCCTCACATCAGTCTACAAGCCACACAAAACACGATCGCAACATGACAGAATTCTCAAGCGAATCTTCCCTCGTACAGGTTGAACTCAACGAATATGGCGTAGCCCTCATCAAACTTAATCGCCCGGAGAAGCGAAATGCCCTTTCCCAGAGCCTGATTGACACCCTCATCAGAGCCATGGTCATGGTTGAGACCGATCATAAAATCAAAGTGGCGGTTTTAACAGGAAGCAGAACAGCGGGACCATTTTCCGGTAAGTTTGCCATTTCGCCCTTTAGGGAGCGATTTTAGGAGCGATTTTAGCAATCCCGAAAACAGTTGAAACTACTGTAACCTTAGCTACATCGAACTGAATTCTGATCATCATTTTCCATAGCGGGTGCTGACTTGTCGGAACTGCTTCATATCTCCACTTCGCAAGCATACGCGATGCAATACCTCGCCGATTTGAACAATGCCATCACACGCATGCGAAAGCCGATTATCTGTGCTGTCGCAGGCTTTGCACTTGGCGGTGGATTCGAGCTGGCAATGATGTGTGATATCATCTACGCCGCTGATAATGCCAAGTTTGGATTACCAGAATTGACTGTCGGAACTATCCCTGGGGCTGGTGGGACTCAACGCCTTACGAGAGTCATCGGAAAGCAAAAGGCCATGGATATGATCTTGACGAGCCAAACGCTTACCGGCAGTGAGCTGGAAGGGCTGGGATTGGTGGCCCGAACTTATCCTGTGGATCAATTGCTTGAGGAGACAATGAAGTCGGCCATCATTATCGCTGGAAAGTCCATTCCTGTGGTAGCTCTGGCGAAAGAGGCTGTTCTCAATGGTAAGCTTGCCTTCTCAAGCATCCATACAATACTTGTGGATTAATATAAACCGCAAACTAATTTTGACAGCGGACCAAACTACGTTGGATGCGGGGTTGAAGCTCGAGCGAGCTTTGTATTACAGTTCTTTTGCTCTGGAAGACAGGACAGAAGGCATGTCTGCTTTCGTCAACAAGCGAAAGCCGGAGTTTAAGAACTGTTGATCAATGCTTAGAGCTGTAGCTAAATTGGTGTCGTATGGAAACAATACCTGAATACGCCTTCCCGGGGCCCTTTGTTTTCCTGTCAATTTGAGTCACGTGATACAGCATTGCATCTCAAACTTTATCCACCACTCGACCGGAATTTTCCGTATTTCTCCATTTGAATTTGCGGATTATCCCTTCTGATCTGGTGGATACTTGAAAGATGATAAGGTCTCCCTCCATCTCTGAAATTGATTTTTCCTTGCAGCCCCGTATTGACTAATAATCTAGATGTCATTCTTCGTGCCCAACTCAACCCCGATGTGAATTGTGTTTCACGGCAGATCATGTCACATACAGTACCAGAAGATTCATGGCCACAAAGTCTCCAGAATGGTCTGATTTACGGTCGTGTGTGAATTCAGTCGGTCAGATCAGAAAGAGATCTCATGCAAAGCAAGATTAGTTGGCCAATGATGAAAGAGCAATCTGTCAAGGAAATCTGGTAAGCCCTATAAGCTTGTGAAATATTCAGACTTGGAGATTTGATAATCAAGGACCGCGAAAATATCAGAAACCTTCTCATCCTGTGGCGCTTGGGTAATCTCCGCTGATATTTTGTTTTTCCACTTGGTCCAACTTCCTTCCCCCTTTATCCGTAGCCGAAACCAAAATTCACTACCCTCCAAGAATCACTGCCTAACTAGCAAAGCAATTTTTCAGTCCCCATTTCGGTCCCCGTACCTCAATTCTTCTCCATCCGATACGCAAACCACTCATGTCGTTCGGGTTGGTGGTTCCATTGTTCCAACTGCGATGGCCCAATCGACTGTTGCGAGAGATTCGCTTGTGTCAGAGCCTTGTCGTTATAAGCTCTAGTAATGGTAAGCTTATATATCCTTCGGGGTATTATAGTTCCATGACTGACCTTTCTTCCACCAGTGTCTCGATTTCTTTGAAAGTGGGCATCGTTGCAGCACTTCTCCCCTTTTCATGTCGTCCAGACCTGGTATTTGACGAGCTTTTAACCGAATGCTGTGCAATTGTGCTCGATCTGAGCGACTCAGAAGTTGAAGTGGCCCGGTCCATGACTTTTTGGTAAATTCGTATGCTTGAGTTATTGGATTTGGGACTCTGAATACGCCGATCTGATAATCGAGTAGGTTTCTCTGCGACCCTTCATAGAACAAACAGTACTGGCTAACACCTTCTTTTATCTCCCATGAATCCTCACTGTGTCACCTCCCAAAAAAGACTCGACAATTAAACTCCGTCATTACCGTCAGAATTGGAAGCGGCTCATGGCAGGAAGAAATGCGTGTCAGAACCGTCCCGAAGCCTCTCATTTCGAAGCAAGTGACTTTCTCCAGTGACAATTCTGATAGATCCCATCTCTAATAGCCAATATTGGACAACGAGAAGTCCCCGGAGACTGTTATAGGCCAGTCGTCGTGAGCCTCGACTGGAGAAGTCACTCTCTGCGTGAGGCATACATCTCTCATCTCCATCAACACGCCCAATCCGCCTCCTTTCCAAGGTAATTCGTTACCTTATCATGACATTGTTCTCGTAAACCCACACCGCAAGTACGCATCGTGACCCTCCGATGATGGCCAAGTTCGAGTTTGTTGTACATAACGAGTCGTGCGTGGTACATTTGCCCCCACGAGTTTTCCGTGTGGATATACTACACCATGCCATAAGTACATTTTCTGGTTGGCTGTTAATGAGATACGAGAACCGTATCATCGGGGAAGCGGACACCGGGTTTTCCTTGCTGCATATGACGGCCAAATGATGGATTGAAAGATGTTGGGGTGTTCTCGATTTTTTAATAACATACCAATGGGGTCCAGTTGTGAAACAATACTCACAGTATCGGGAGCGACAACATGGCTCTCTAATCATGGAATACTTGTCAAGAAAAGCCGTAACATCAATCCGGATCGATTATCTCTCGGCCGGGGAACTATATGGTGACACCCTTAATCCCTCATGTGGTTGAATAGCACCACATTCCTTGGAAACTATCAGGTTTGTGAAAGAACTATATAGTTGGTCAATGATGTGAGCTGGGATACAACGGGCCGTACCCGATTGATGGACACCTGCAGCATCGTTGGTGCCCAAGTTACTCCTTTAGGCGGGAACGAATTCCTTTTTTGGTAATTGTCATGTTCTCTCCACGAGGCCAGCATATGCGTGGAATCTGATCAGAAGGTCTTTTTTCTGGTACTACATAATACTGTACTCCCATATTCCGGATCGATTCCGATGTTATCTTGGAATTATATGCTGCTTGGCAGTATTGTTGAGGTGGCACTTGGGAGAGCCTCAACTAACGACAAGAGTTTGCACATGAATTGGATTTAGACGGTATGTTTAACCAACAACGGAGAGGAGCAAAAAGTGAACCGGGTTGTATTCTTGGGAAGAAGAGATAAGCAGTACAGAAACATAAGTCCGACTTCGTACACAAATCTTGTACCCCGCACAGGGTTTAAATCCCAAAACAGCCTCCTTTACTGGGTATCTTTGTGTTTTCATTTGCCCCCAAACTTCCAGTGGATTTCCAATACGCCAGCAACTGATTGAAAACGATAGTACCTTACACCCCCAATAAGCAAAGAAAGAAGGAAGAGAGAGAAGGAAAAGTAAAGATAATTAAGCAATATGAGTCGACATACAAAAATAGAATTACATCATTCCTCGTCCACAGTGGCACAAACGCAGAATATATTCTGCAGCGATAACAACCCCTCCAAAGTCCGTGTAATGGCACCAAAAGACAGAGCTGTCCTTGAAGCGAGCGTATGACCGGAAAGTTGGGAGAAGGAACAGTCTTCGAAGAAAATATTTCGATCGTTTTGATCGCCCGTACTGTGGCCCGGGTTCTTTAGGAGGCCCATTTGTGGCCTCCCGCCTGTCGAATTCCCTCATCGTGAGTTCGGTGTGTTTGCTATATTTCCATTGCCGTTCCCACTCCCAGTTCCACTTATTCCATAACTTCTGTCTCTAGAAATCTCACACTGCCGAATCCGGGCTGCCACATCCTCATCGCTGAGTCCCTGAGTGAGACCCGGGAAGAGTGAACGAATGGACGAATGTGTGAGAAGGTTTTCTGCCCCTCGGGGCATTGCATCTGGCGTCGATCCCGGTGCCAGGTTCTTATTGACTGTAGCCATGTTGATATCTCGATGTCTTCTGCGTGGACGATGACCACGTCTTCGTCTTCTCCTCGGGCGGATAGTCGAATTCAGGGCTGGGTGAAGGATGGAAGTTGGAGGTAGAGGAGACGAAAGATGTTCGCTAGGTGAGTGAGAGCTCCAGCTGGAAGGGGACACGCTGTTAGAACACGATAACCGGCTTGCTATAGGGGGCGATCTTGCCTTATAGCTGCCGACGAAGTCCTCAATTGCTCACTCGAGTATACCGCATGACCAGTCCTATCTAGCACATCTTCAGGGCTGTCATTTCTGATCCAGGTGGTCTGGGTTTCGGCACATGAGACGGCGCAACAATTGGTTGTTACTCTCAATTCACAACCAACTATCCAAGCTTGCTCGTTTGCCGATCCCATCCTCGATTGTTATTCAGGCGTCCAGAGAGGTTGGGCATCAATGATATCTCTATATCAGGGCAACCCCTGGAATTCAAGGTCGTATTTGGGTCTTTGACAGGACAAGTCAGGGCGCACTTGGTTATAAGAAGTGATAATAAGGTAGTTCCACGTACCGGGGCGCCTCATTCCCATCATCGTGCTCTACTGAACTTCATGTTCATGTAGAATGGCTACCACGAGGTAGTTTGTTATGAACTCAAGACGAGGCGATCGAAGCAAGAATATATTGCTGACTATATCTCAGAAGACTGAGTAAAAACCCGTTGATTTGTTGAGATCCAACGGATTCTAGGGCTCGCCCTTCTCGTGTATGATTACAACACGGCCATCGATCGATTCATTTCGACGACACGTATAAAAGAGCTCTTCCAGGTTCAAAGACTCATCGAGACCGTTCCCTTCTTTTCTTCTTTGAAGACCCTGAAGATCCGGCCTAAAGATTCCTGGGGATCTGGTAGGAATCCAGTCGATGACCGGCCTCGGTGTATTCGGTGGCGTTTCCCCGCAAAAGAAATCTTTGCTCAACGCATGCATATAGTATCACATCGTTATGCCCCCCTACCTAGGTAGGCATACGCACCCAATGACAATATGTCTGCCTTGATGGCAGCCTTCATCTAATTTTATTTTCGGATGGGAAGAAAGGAATCCACGACATGGTTTCGAAACAGAAGAAATCGAGTATGGTATTATGAGGGAATTCCAACAATCAACAGCCTTAACAAGGCACCCTGTTCTCGCCCATCGAATTCCACACTCCAGGGGATTCGAAGGATCAATTAACTCGACGGGTTGATTCTGGCCTCATCGAGATCCGATGGCAACTATTTGACGAGCGTGGATCAGGCAACACTAGGGGCCACTCACCGAATCCTTCCGAATTCTCACACCGAATTCTTTCGAACACGCTCTCTTGGTCCACCGAAATGATTCTTGCCGGACGAAAGGAACCAGCTTTCGTGTAGTGGGTGGAGAAGAGATCATTTGTATCTGTACTTGCGATGTGGTGAATGAGAGCGTACGAATACGCCGGTTGACGTCTGGTAATAGACGTAGGTGTATTCAGCTAGCTTGAAATCCCCAAGATACTGTACAGAATGCTGCGGCGTGTACAGTGGCTTGGCTTACATGAAGTCCATGAACACGTGGGGTACGTGAACTACCGAGGCGAGGGAGGGAAGCATCTCTATGGCTGAGACATACAGCACAATGAGTGTACTTTTACTTTTGGTATTTCTTTTGTCTTTGAAAAAGGAAAAGATTACCGAGTTCAAGGGGCTTTATATTATTTACGGTAAAAGACAAAAATGCCACCTAATTAATATTTTTTTAACGGAAATACTACCTATAACTTATACTATATTACTAGTTTGCTAGTAAACTAATATCTATGTTATTAGTAGTAGTATTATTAAAAAAAGGTAAGTTATAATTATATTAACCTTAGTATATTATATACGCTTTAAGATTATTAATATTATACGACTAGTTAATGTTTTATAAGACTATTAGTAGAAGCTATACTTAGATAGAAGCTACTTAAAATCGAGAAGTTACTACCTTTTTATAACAAATATACTAATAAATATATACTTCTTTTATTAACTTACACTTCTTTTATTATTAATACTTAGTATCTAGAATTCCTTTCTATTCTAGACCTCCCCTCTAGAATAATTCTATTCCTTTTAGGGTTTAGCTAGAATTATTCTATTCTAGAAGTATATTATTAGAAGATAAATAGAATATAATATAGAATAAAATAAGTATAAGGAGGGAAGCTAGCTAAGAGGTAAGTAGGGAGTCTTTATAGGACTACCTTATTCGAGTAGAAGTCTCTAGAGTACTAGGTATTCTCCTAGGTAACCGAAATAAGATTAGGTAATAGAGATAGAAGTATAGTAGTCTCGGCTAGCTAAGATTATTCCGTAATATATATATTCTATAGAATTTCTAGAATTTCTAGCTAGAATCTATTATATGACTCGGAAAATTATTATTCCGCTCCGGTAGACTAATACAAAGCTTCTATTTAGCTTTAGACTTTCTATTATAGTATAAAGTTCTATTAAAACGTTATATAAATATTCCCGGGATATAATAACTTAATATCATTATTATTATTATTATTATTCCTTTTAACGTGCTGTGTGAGTCTGAGACTATAGTAGCACGGCTGGGGGTTTCCCTCCAACAGATGAGTAAAGCTGTACTAAATACATGTTTGAGAAGGGGGTTATGGTCATTACAGTTCTTGGGTTGTTGGAAGCAGCTAGGCTTCTGGTTATGACAAAAGAAAAGTTGTTATGTTGTAGTACGCCCCCTCGTTTCACGCCCTGTACGCTAGACTTCCTCGTTCTCGTCTTCATCGTCCTCATCTTCCTCGTCCTCATCTTCCTCTTCCTCATCTTCCTCGTCCTCGTCTTCCTCGTCCTCGTCTTCCTCGTCCTCATCTTCGTTCTCATCCTCAGTTGCGCGTTTTTTGTGTGTGCCATATTCTAGTGGCGATTTTGGTGGTTCGAATAAAGTCAAGTGTGGCCTCGACTCCTTTGGCGGTGTGAAGGAGGGATTTCATGGTGAACTCTCGAATATGATGCTTGAGGAGGTTGCGCTTTAGTACTTTCCTAGCATCCCCAGTTTCTGGACAGCTAAGAAGGAGGTGAGTGGGAGTCTCTTGTCTTCCACATCTACAGCGGTTGTTGGTAGTGTGGCCGAGCTTGTGTAGGTATGATTTGAAGTATCCATGGCCTAAAGTATCCATGGCCTAGCTTAAGCTGATAAAAGGCGCTGGCTATCTCTCTTTTTGTTCCTTGGGGGACGCAAGGTTTCGACAG